AATGAAGTAATTCTTACGATTTCGTTACATCATAGTTGAACAAGGAAAAGATTTGATGAGATGAAAAGGTCCAAGTACAACGTCTCGACCGATGCAAAACAGTAATACAATTTATATTTTATCTGAATTTTCCTATTCTTACTTTGAAAAAATATGTATTGTACCTCCCAACAATTTAATTTTTAACTTTAGACCATAAAACAAATCTGTGCCTCTCAATGAACTTTGTTCATTAAAAGTTGTGTTGTGACAGGTGATATATATTCACTCTTTTTAATTTATACGAAGAAACACAATCCATTATTTAATTGAGGAAAAATAAATGATCATAATTTATATGAAATTAAAATTAATATATAAATCATATCAAGTCGTCAAAAATAAAATATATTACTAGATTTACATAAACGTACTTGAATCTATTGATAGATAATTAGAGATAGTTTAGTAGATGGTTGTAATATTTCAAAAAGACATATATATATATATATATATATATATATTTTTTACTGTAAAAACTCTTAAGATAAAAGTAATACAAGTTAAATTATTCATCGTGGACTGTTTTCTCTTTATATAAAACTAAATGTTAAATCAGATTAAAGTATATATAATTTTACCTCTTATCAAATTATAAATATTCATACTTTTATTTTCATGACACTTTAATACATGTAACATAATTGGTGACTAAATTTTGTGTCATATTTTATAGGATAAACTACACGTTTAGTACCATAACTATAATTTTTGTTCAGTTTTAGTCATCTAATTATATTTTTGTTTTAAAATCATACTTAATGTTAAGTTTTGGTTTCATTTTGATAATTTATTGTTAAAAAATTAAAAGTAATGATGACGTGTCACCATAAAGATAATGTCAAAATCATCATTGAGTTTTTTTAAAAGAAAGTGTCAAATCAGTAATTTTGTCAATATTTTAACGATTGATGACCAAAATAAAATCAAAACGAACATTATGTATAATTTTGAAATAAAAAATAGTTTAGTAACTAAAACGGAAAAAAATAATAGTTATGATATTAAAAGTATAACTTACCCTACTTTATAATAACATTATATATTAAACATATACATACACAATTACAGATTTTGATCCAACAATAATAAGCATCCGGAATGAAGTTGAAGAACTCATGAGGCCTTATGTAACTCCGTAAGTCTAAAAGAGTAACAATAAAAACATAATTTCCAAAAAAAAAAACAAAGAAATTACACACTTATCATTAAAGAACAAGCTAACTCGAGTGTCATAGACCCATACATCTAATTAAAGGCTGGATACACAATTCTATTCCTAATCTTAAAAAAAAAAACCAAAAGAGAGAATCTGTAGGAACGAAGCTATCTTTGAAGGAAGAAGCCAACCCCAAGGTCATAGGGTCATAAATCCAATAGTGAATAAATTTGGAGGGTTATGACTTATGAGAGTGGGGGAGGTCCCTAAATTATTTGCGAAGGAATTTACATTCACTGCATGAACAAGACACTGCAATAACGACAACCATACCTCTCTTGTAGCTATTTAGGCCTTGCGTGCTGCAGATGTCTCCCTTTCTTTCTAAGTTTCCCAATTACCTTCCTTTTTCACTGTAGGTTATATTAAGGGTATATTCTCTATCTAGTCACCGATATATTCTTTTGATTCTGTTTTGGTCACTCAACTATTTATTTTAAAAAATATACTTAACGTTAGACTTTGGTTTCATTTTGATCACTCGTTGTTAAAAAATTAAAGGTGATGCTAACATATTAGTATAAGATAATGTCACATCATCATTGAAAAAAAAGACACATTAATAGTTCTATTTATTTTTTAACAATGGGTGACTACAACGGAACAAAATTATAATGTTAGGTATGATTTTGAGAAAAATAATTGGGTGATCAAAACAAAATTATAAAAATATGTGCATGGCTATATATGTAGTTTATCCTTATATTAAATCATATCAAACTTCAAACTTTTTATTTATAACATTTAAAATTTAAAAAATATAAAATTTATTTTTATCTTTGGGAAAAAGAAAAAAGTGTGGGTTCGATTTCTCTCTCTTTTCTTTTTGGAGGATGTTTGGATGAAGAGAAAATTCCAACTCAAATGTTGGTAAAGATGGGGCCTTGATTTTACATCTTATCCTCTATTGTCTGCTCCCTAAAGAAATGGTTTTTGATACTCTTATTGCCTGATTAATGAACATCAACTGCTAAAAGATGTAGAATTTGAAAAGAAAAAAAAATCATTATCATTAATTTAAATTGTATTTGTATATTTATTCATGTTATAATGTGATTAAAAATTTTCTTTTATATAAATTTCAATAATTTTTATTATGGGGGTTTTGAAATATTTATGTATTGTAGATGATATTGTACTTGTATTTTTAATATTTTTTTAAAAATAATAAAATAATTAATATTAATAGAAGACAAGAAAAGCAACATCGACTATAAATATTTATTATTATTTTCATCATTCCACTGATAAAAGATATAAATGTGAAAGCCACCACGAAACTTTAAAGAATAAACTATTTTTTTTCAAAAAAAGTTTGAAGGTAAAAATATCATTAGACCATTTTAAATTACTGAAATTTTAGAATGTAGATGTATGATATATTTATCGACTAATTCGGATTGAATACGGTAGAGACAATGACGACCCTCTATTTGCAAACGTTAATGTTTGAACCCTTTACCTTGCTTAAGAATCTAGTATCTCATTTCATTAGACCAACCGATTGTTGGTGAATGTATGTCTTCTTTGATAATTAATAAAAAAATTATTAAAATAAAATATATTATTATTAAATTTAGAAAACAAACTGCTATCAAAAAGTCAAAATTGGAGTAATCATATCCTGGGAATGGACTCGATCATAAGGGCAGCCTTCGTTAATTTTTCAATATATTCTTTACGTAATAGTTTGGGAAACTTCTTTTTCAAAAGATAGATAAACTTAACTATTTATAACCACCTAACCAAACACCTTTCTTAAATGGATTATATGTAATTTTAAAAATATATTCTTCAAAACAGCCTTGAATCCTTAAAAGAAAGACTTCAAACGATTATATATCTCTCTCTCGACAAGTCGCGACCTTTTAACATACTACTTATATATATTGAATACACCCTTAATTTTTATTTATATATATTTATAATTATCTTTGTGGGAAAAATCTTGTGAAACCCTCTTAAATGTTTTAAAAATTCTATAATTAGTGACGGATCGAGAAACTTAAAATTGAGAATCTAAAAATTTTAATACTTTTTTAATGAAATGGGTATATAATTTTTTTCTTTCCCTTAATATATTGAACTATATATAAGAATTTATCTAAAATAATGAGTGTACACTTGGACCCCTAAGAGGCAAAGTGTATTCTCCCCTGTCTGCAACGTGATTATTTTATTTGATTTGTAATATAATTTATTTCTTATAATATAAAATTATTAATAATAAGTATTATTTGAGGTATAATGAATAATTTTATTATCTTCAGTTTTATCAAAATGCTTTGAGATCTTGATTTGTTTTGTCGTTCGTGCAAGGTTTTGGTCGTGCCGTTTGTGCATCTTTTGGACTTGTGAAGTAAAATAGGTTTTTTTTATAAATTACAAGTTTAGTATCTCAACTATTATTTTATTCTGTTTTTGATATCTAATTATTTTTTATTTCAATATTTTATCTAATATTACATTTTAGTTTTATTTTTATCATCCACTGTTAAAAAACTAACGATGCTACTGATGTGTCACTATAAGATAATATCATGTCATCATTGATAAATTTCGATTCTACTAGTGTGAGATTCAGACAACCACTTGCGGTGGAAGACAAAGCTTTGAAGATGGCAGTGTAAGATGATGACAGTGGAGAGAAGCAAATGAAAAAAAGTAAAAGATACTGAAAATCTAGGGTGCTCCCTCTCATATGAAACAATGATTGTTTTCAACTGCATTTCAATCACAATCTTTGGATGATTGCTTGTGATCTTCCAAAACTTCGGTGGTCACATGTTCATGACAGGTGAACTACTTCCCCGGTCACGATCTCTTTTTCCGGACCACCTTCACTCTCCTTCCTATGTGACACATCTAATAGAATTGTTGATAATAACATTTACGCTGGGATTATAGACGGCTCATTTTTTTTAATTTAGATGAAAGATCATCATAATTAACTTAATCCAAAGTTGATATAAAATAATTAAAAAATAAAAATTTATCATGTGACACGAGACAAGAGTAGAATCGAATTGCAAATGCCTTAACAAAATTAAATCAGGATCAATCACTAGATCTATCCATCTAATTTCACTTTAATCATCTGGGTATACAGTAAAAATGAGAAGGTAATAGAAAGTGAAGGCAAAAGATTCAACTGCTCCAAGTGCAACTACAGACGCAAACTAGGTATCGACTTGGATAGACCACCTCCCCACCCCTACCCTTCTATGTTTTTAGGTACACCAGTGATGAATTTAAAAATATTTGAGTATGAATACATATATATTACCCACGTAAAATTTTGTATAAAATATATATAAATAAAATTCTAATATAAATATAAGATTTATAATGTTATTTAATAAATCAAATATAATTTAAAATTATATAAAAAAAGAAGGGATTTTAAGAAAAAAATATTGATGGAAGTACAACAGAGTTAATGAATTGATGGGATAAAATAATTTACAAAGAGTTGCAATCAAAGAATTAAATTGAATAAAGTAAAAATTTGAAGGAGTAAATTTAAAAAAAAAAAAAAAAAGAAAGATAAATTTTGATTTCGAAAAGAGGAATTTAACTTGTATATGTATTGAGTATGTCGTTCAAATTTGATCAAAATAAACTTGAGGAATTCATTCGTGTTAAACGCATATTTGTATGTGCCAAATATGACCAACAATTTAACCATATCCGTACGAGCACATTTGTATCCAGCAAGTAACATAGAAGGCGAAACCAAAGATGAGCAATTCCAATGAAAAGAAGCTTAAGATGGCTGAAACCAGCTGACCCTCAATCATCCTTACTATTACAACATGGAAATAAGATGCTATTCCACACGATAAGGTCATTCCGATACTACGAGGTTAATGACATGGGAGAATACATACATACATACCACTTCGACAACCATTTGACCGATCAGACGTCGGTTTCGCACCACTCCTGTACTGTTGGCATTGCAACTCCAATATTTCTCATGTCAAACAGATTGGCTGCATCAGTTTAAATTTCAAAGAAATAATTTGTATTTGGTTCTCTCAAAGTTGGATTGGAAGCACAAAAATTAACTTCTTTTCCTATGTCAATGATGGTAGGCAAATAAGAAACAGAAATGTCTGTTAAATTTTACACCGTGACAATAGATCCGACCTCTCTTTGTATATAGCAAAATACAAAGTCTGAAAAAAAAAACAACGAAACAGAAGCAGAGTACAAAACACAAGCAGAGAACAAGTCAATACACGATTATCAACTATTTAATCAAAATGGCAGGGGAGTTTATCAAACATATATATATATATATATGCCATAATGTATATTTTTGTAGATATATAAAAGGGTATTTCTATAATTTTCCCGAGGCGGACAGGTTTTTCCTAAATCCAACCCCAACTAATTTGATAATTACATTTCCACCAGCCTTGAACCTGACTTTTTTTTAAATAAAAATACCCCACCGATCGGATTGACTCAAAATCCGATCAATTCCAGATTTATCTTCCATTCCTACTCATGTTCTTCATTTCTCTGTATTCTCTCAACATTCTTTTTCTCAGAAGGAAACTGTTGTGTTTCTTCACTAGGAAATCTTTTGAATCATTATGCCGATCTCACCTCGACATAGAACTGTTATTTCTACTAAATCTTTTATATAGTCCCATGATTTTATTCAACACTCTCCAAGGTTCCTTACATCGTCCCCTCTTTATATGTTTCGATTTGCATTCATCTTTCATCAACTCAAGGAAAGACCTTGGCTAACAGCCACTACTCTATTGCACCCTCAAACAAGGCTTTCAACACAAATCACTAACCTTACGTTGTTGATCCACTAATTACACATATAAGGACATCCATGTCCTCGTTTAGTTATATTCCAGCTTCTTTCATATACGCGTTTAAACAATCACCTTGATATTTTACCACGGTAAAATCAATCGTCTCTACTCTTTTACAGTACTACCACCATAGAAGTTTGCAAGTCTGAGATCGGATTTTCATTGGCCTATAATCCCCCCATTTGACCTAGCATAATCTCCACAAAAACTGTTTTATAAAGTTTTTTAATCACTAAAAACGTAATAATGCCGTCTTTTAAAAGGTTCCAACTCGTCCTATATAAATGATTAAGTTCATAAGCATAACTGCACGACCATGCTTTCGTTCTCTTCCTAGTGGTAGATAAATTGATTAGGGAAGTGAAATTTTGTACCATCATGTATATCAGGTGTTGCAGCAGCTGTGGCATCAACGATAACAGTAACCGGTTGGTAGTTATGTGCTATGGCGTCAAAGACAGTCTGCCGGATGCAATTTGGAGTTTGTACGCCTACAAAAGAGATTCAGGAAAACACTGAAATGTTAATGCCACGTAACATAAAGCGATAAATGCCTCTCAATTAATCACATAAATTCAAGATTTCACAAGCTCTGATATCTCCTTACCAACAACAACTAAACTATTTACCCCATTACTCTGTAGGAAAGAATGAAGATGGGTCGCAAAGAATGCACTAAAACGAGTCTTCACCAACTTGTAATCTCCTTCTTTTATCACAAGGCCATCCACCAGTTCTGCACCTAAAGTTCCCTTCGTGGTTGGACCCTCTTTCCCCGGAGAGTACAAATGCTGACGAAAGAGTTCGACATCCCTTCCTAAATAATCATGTTCACGAACAACCTAAACCCAAAATTAATCTTTTCACAAACGTCTCAAGATTACAAACAAAGGAAGAAGCACTTTGTAACAACACTGTTGAAATTATTTCAAAGAATATGAAATTGTCCCAAAGTTCTCTTCAATTCTCAGAACTGGTTCCAGCCTTCCAGGGACAGGAAAATAGCTTCAATTACTTAACTTTAGAAAATTGATCACCTATCCAATATCTTTTTCTAAGAGCTCCCTAAAAAAACATTTTGCATAAAATATAAACCAATTGGGTCCTAACATTTGTGAATGGAGTAAATTGGGTTGCGAGGGTCACGGTTTCTTCAAAACCTAATCTAGATTAGTCGGTTAATAAATTGGATACATGTGGTTATATATATTAAAAAAAGAACCTTTGGCTTTTTCATTTTCTTGATAAACCAAACATCCTAGGTGACATTTTCCAACCAACCAAACAGAGAGAATTGAGACAACTCGGAAAGATTAAAGTGAATAAGAGGTTAGAAAATTTACCCATACGACGAGAATTCCACGCTGCCGGGCGATTTCAACAGTCTTTATGACATTAGGAACGATGGCTTTGCCTCCTTTTACTCTCATCAACCCATCATCTAATATAAAGTCATTCTATAAAAAAAAAGGAAAACCCAAAGTTCTCCATTTATCAATGAAAGAAAAAAAATCCAACTCCAATGTTCGTGATTCATATGCCATAGTATATATAATTTGCATTACAAGAAGGAAAAAGGATAAGAAGAAAGATGAAACCTGCATGTCAATTACAAGGAGAGCCGTGTGCTTCCATTTTTCTGTCATACCTTCTATCCCAAACTCTGAAAATGCTTACTGTTCAACCAAGAGCTAAAACTTGAGCGGAAAAGATTTTGAGCGAAGTAACTGGATTGAAATTGACAAATTGTCGGCTCATTAATATTGTGTTTTCGAAATCGAATTCTATAGCCCAATGGCCCATTTGGTGGTGCTGATGCAAGAAATAACTTCGGGCAGAGTTTGAAACTAACGAACGAGGGAGGAATCAAAATAATAAGAATAGAAAAAGAAGGGCTGGGATTTTTTTCCTTCCTAGTTCTAGTGTTTGTCTTGATTAATTCGGATCGACAAGCATCTCACACCAGATTTTAGTGGGTGAATCTTCCAACAAAAATTTTCTACATATATAAATATTAGAACTCAATATTTTACTTAAACGATATCAAATTATTTACTACTTAAATCAACTACTATATAAGATTTTTAGTTTAGAAAATAGATAGAGAATAATACTTTAGCAAAAGAACTATTATAGGAGATTCTTAAAGAAATGTTTCGGATATTAGAGGAGTGAGGTTGTATCACTTATGATAAGAATTGACTTTATATCATTCTACTCGATGACAGATTGTCTAAGGGTTAAGGTGAAAATGTGTATTCTAAAATTTAAATTTTCTTCATATAATTATCTATTTTATTGATTATACTTATCTCATACAAAATTTTATATGATTATATATATATATATATATATGTCTATTTTAAAAAAAAATTCTGGATCAGCAACTAAATGAAACTGCAACAATAGTTACAACCTTTTTATTGTGAGATATACTCTTTATGTCATAGAATGCATATTATTATTATTATTTTATTAATCTAAAGTGATTACAAGTTATAATATTAGTTATAAAGATTTTTAATTATTTGACAATTAACGTTTAAATATTCTATAATCGCTAGTGCTCAAACCTGATAATTTATAAGAATAACGATCATCCCTTAAGGCTTTAACTATTGAGATCGCTTAAATGTATATTATTATTTAGAAAATAGAATGCATATTAGGATGAAGAACAATGTACTGGTTGTACGTTCTTACTTGATATAATTGCTATATTATCGATATATATATATATGACATTTTTTTAATTAAATAATTCAACTTTTTATTTATTTATTTTAGACTTGATGTATATAACTTAGGGTAAACTATATATTTAGTACATTAACTATTATTTTTATTTAATTTTGATATCAAAATTTATTTTTTAAATCATACATAATATTTAGTTTTATTTTGATACATTCTCATTAAAAACTTAACAGAACGTTGATGTTATTTTTTTATATTTTTTTAATGACGACGTGACATAACCTTAGGGTGTCTCCTCAACAACTATGTTAAGATTTTAATACCAGAGTATCAAAATAAAACCTGAAATACACATTAAGTATGACTTTGAAAAAAAATAAATTTTAAGTATCAAAACGAAATAAAAGTAACAATTTAGGTATTAAACGTATAGTTTATCCTATAATTTATTTGAACAAAGTATCAACACGAAAATTTCGAAATTATTTCATCGACCAATTCCATCGAAAATAATTGGTTATTTCCTAGTAATGTCCAACACATTCATCAAGTGTGTATATATATATATATTGAACTGACCACTAGTATCTGATCTATTGACTGACTAATTCAGATAGAGTTTTACAAAAGCCTATTACGAGGGCAACCCTTCCAACCCAGTTCACTTCATTCTCAAACAATAGAGTTCGAATGGAGCAATCATTGAGTATATATTCGACACAAATTTCCAACATTTCCACAAACATGTTAAAATTTGAGCACAATGAATCCAACACTAGAACCTTGGTTTGGATAATCAAACACAGTTTTTGAAGAATCTCTCTTCCGTGAGTGGAAAAAATTAACCAAAGTAACAGTTGAGAAAAAGAATGACTAATACCCTTTGGGGTTACAAATTCTTTGAAACAAAATTCTTCATTTTCTGAAATGATTTGTATGCAGATACAGGTTTCTGAGAGTATAGCATTCATATAATCCTTATTTTTCGATACTATGAAAAGTACTCACCACGAGTTTTATGCTCAACAACACTGCCATATCGCTGCATCGCTGCAACAGGCTCGTTGCATCTGGGACATCGGAACGAGGGAGCTGCTGCGCATCGTGTTCTTAGGCAATAGTAGCAATACCTGTGAATTGAAGTTCGGAATCGTTAAGCAAGCAATACTAGTAAATTACTCTTTAAACAATGTGAATCATTGGAGCTGCGCAAAATATATTTTCATGGAGATAGCTGTTAATGGTGGGATTTGAAAAATACACGCCCAAGATACAAACTGATCATCATTTACAGGTCAGTCTTTTTATTCATCCAATGCACAAATTCATTAAACATGTTCAAGCCAACCATTTGCAGCATTGGGCAACACAAGCCTCGTATCTTTTGAAAGTTGGGCCCCAAAAATTTTGGGCAGGCTCGTGAATGGTGGGCACAAATTTAATTGTTTAAAAGATCACCACCCCCCCCCCCCAAAAAAAATAGCAAATAAAAAGTTAACCTACCTGTGCTGACAAGGGATGGCAACATAAGGAAGTGTTGGACTTGCCCGACAAATGGGACAATTAGAGTCATCGTCTGTAGAACTTGAACCCTTGTCCTCTGAGAACGGGCGGAGAAAACTTTTAATGGTTGACGAGTTAAGAAGAGGGAGAAGGAGCAACAGCATCTCCTACATGATAGCAAAGAAAATATAAGTACTGACACATATTCATAGGAGAGGGGAAACTTCGCTTATTAGATACGTTGACATCGATGATAGAACAGGTAAAAATTGTTCTCATATCAAGAACCAATACTTAATGACCCAAAATAGTAAGCTATTCGATTATTATCTTATTGTTTTCAGTAAATCAGGTTACCAAAGGTGAAGTTTTAAAAAACTCGAGGACCAAATTACATGCATTCTAAATGTCCCAAACCAAACTTAATAATTAAGTGTTAACTTACTCACGGTTTAATAGATACATGGCAGGTGTATAAACCTACTCGAAGTTTTCAAACCCCATTGCCAACTTATGGTTATAACCCTAAATCAAGCACTAAGATAAACAAGAATTGAGATGTGGCTTAAGCAAGGAACAATTACTGAGAACTCGTTCCAAACTAACTGGCGATTCATGTACTCAAAGCTAACGGCTCGATTCATATTAGGGCTTGCATAGACCAGTCTTGCTCTTAATGCTCTTTCAATCAGATTTCTATACCTGCATCAGAACAAGGGAAGAATTCAGATCAACTCTGAATTTCAAAAGGTGATCATGAAACCATCAAGCTTTCATGTTCGATAGAATAAGGTAATATATATTAACCCAACAACCAGACAAACAGATCAGGTTCACAAAGTGAAGATGATAAATGGTAAACTTAATTCTATAAAAAAAATGGTAAACTTAAGATGAAATGCCATATTTAATGCTTGTTATCAGTGCTTCTTCGCTTCTGTATGTGTGTATTTTTCAGATAATATTAGTGAGATTCGAACAATATATGCTTCAACATTATAAGGTTTCCACTTATAGGAAACAACACTTTCAAACGTACCTTCCCGTGTAAAGAAATATAAGTAGGTTGCCAAATGATGCAGCCTTGTAAAGCCCTTCTATTCGTTGCATCAAATTCCAAGCTCGCTGTGCCAATGGCCTCTGAAGAAGAAAAAGGAAAATCAGTATTGACTTTGGACGGAGTTCAAATTAAAACTCTTTATTAGGGAAGAAAATGAAGAAGACGAAAATAGAAGCGATTCATAAATCAGAACCTGCTCAGAATCACCCCATCTGCGGAAAGCAGAGAATGACTGTAAACGAGCCCAAATGTACTGACCACCGACCGTAGCAATGCAATACCACATCTTCTGAGTAACAGTCAGTCCAGGCCCCTCCAAACCCGTTCTTACTGCAAAAGATAAGAATAGCACAAACTAAGGCTGTAAGTGAGGCTGAATGAAACACAGAGAGGAAAAAAGATAATGTCAACCAGCATACAAGTTAAACAGCTACAAAAGGAAAAAGTACCAGAGGATGATTTGGCTGGTAAGCTAACATAGGGAAAACCATACATAAACTCGAATGAAATTCAAACAAGAAAAGAAAGAAAAAAATACAAAACTAAACATCCCGCAAAAATATTCTGATATACAAATAATTGGATATCTTAGAATACATGCAAGTCAGTTATCACATCATAAAATGTATGAAGGCAAAGTGGGGCAGTATCAATGCTCATACATGAGAATTTAAACTAGCGAAACCCAAAATTTTAAGTATTTCGATAAGAAAAAGAAGTCCAGACCTTCTTACCTTTTCCTCTTATTTCCATGGCACGTTCATCTCTATACCTCAGATTCATAAGTGCAATTCCAGGAGTAGGCTTATCTACCCAAATCGAGAACTTCCAAATGAGAAACTCGAGGAAAGCATCAAGTTCTGGTTCATATTGAAATAGCATTCCTGGCTAACCCCAAACAAAACATAGAACAATATCAGAAAACTCGATAGCACAATTTCATTTTAGATACATGGAGAATGCCTTCAACCAAAGGAAAATAGAAGAAGAAGAAAAACCTTCATCAAGGAGAAAACTTTAACCAGCTGTTCTTTTAACATGGCCGACATCTCAATATCCAATCTAGCAGCATCAAACTGATTAACTCTAGATATTGATATGGGTAGCGCGGAATGCTGCATGAATTTACCATAAACAGTTAATAAATTGATATGCCAAAGTTAAACACTGGCAAAATTGGAACAACCAGAAAAATTTTCAGAAATATCAAAACTTTTCTTCCACACATATATCCAGAGAATTAGAAGTCCAAATTTGTTTTCCACTATCATAATGCAATTCCATTCAACTTTAGCATATCTAGTCCTTGATACACATATTCATATTATTTATATATAAAAAAGTAGCCCAGAAATTTTCCAGATATCATTTCAAGAAAAAAAAAAACAAGTTCCCCGTGAATTCTAAAGAGAAATCAGGGTTCCCTAAGACATAATATGTTTGGCAGAGCTTTTTAGGCAATTATCAACAAAGGGTAAGCGTTTCTTTTCAACTTTAACAAAATTTCAAGCAAAAAAAAAGAAAAAATTAAAATAATTTACCTGATGAGAAAGAGAAAGAGAGTGCCAGAGAGGGAATAGCTTTTGGTAAGGAGTAACCCAAACATCTTCTTCAGGTGCTGCTGCCGGGGATGGATTGCCTCTAACAATAACCATTTGATGAGATTATAATTTGAGTATCTTTCTTCTTCTTTTGGTAAAATTAGTTGCTGAGATTTGTCTGTTGTTGAAGTCTGATTTCTTTTCTTTTCTGAGGAAAAAAATTTGAGAAACCGCAGCTAAAAGCCTTGATAGGTGGACCTTTAAAGATGTTTGACTATAATTAATTTTTTGGAAAATAAATTATTAAAATTTGAATTACTGGAATTGAAAAATAAATTACTAGAATTTGAATTCTGAAAAATGTTACATTTCTGGAAAATGTTTTTCGGAAAATATTTTCCGTAAAATAAATTAAATTTTTCTGAAAAACATCTGAAAAACGTTTTATGATGTTTGAAATATATTATTTAAACATTTTTTCCACTAGTTAAAAAGTTTTTTAAAAATTATTTATTACAAATATTAAATATAATAAATAATATTATTTATCATAAAACTTAATATTATTATTTTAAAATATTAAAATAATTTATTTATTATTAAATATTATTTTTATAATTTTATTAATAAAAATATTAATTTTTGTATATTTTAGTGAAATAAAATATTATAAATTATATTAATTATTTATTAAAGTAATAGTATTATATTATATTTTAAAAATATTAATTAGTATATTTTAAATATCTTTATTAAAATATTATTTAAATATATAAATAATATTATTCATTATTAAATATAAAAAATTTTATTATATATTATTAAAATAAAAATATAATATCTTATATTATTATAATATAATTGATTATTTTATCTAATATAAAAATATAATATAATATCATTATAAATATTAATAAATAAATAAATAATATTTTGATGAAAATGATATTAAAATATTTTATTAATATTAAATTCATAAAATAAAATTATTTTGAGTATTTATTCTTTGAAGTGAAAAGTTCGGAAAATGACTTATGGAAAATGAATCCGTAAGTCATTTTACAGAAAACACAAAGGAAATTCTGTTATTAGGAAAATGAATTACATTCCGGAAAACCAATTACGTGAAATAAAAATGAGAAAACATTTTCCGGAAAACGAATTAAGTGAAACAAACACGGGAAAACATTTTCCGAAAAATGAATTACGTGAAACAAATACGGGAATTCGGGGAAAACCAATTCCGTAATTCCAATTACGACAACAAAACACACCCTAAATTTTAATATTTTTTGGCCTAATGACCTTTTTGGTCCTTAAAGTTTTAAAAAAAATATTTTATCACTTAATTTTTTTCTCTTTCAATATTTAAATTTTATTTTTTTATTAAATTTAATCAATTAATAAAAAATAATAAACTTTTATATATTTTATAAAAAATCCTATGTTTCTGATTTTTTTTATAATTTTATTTTTTAATAATTTAAATATGTTTTCTATATTTTTATATTTTATTGTTTCAAAATTTTTAATAAAAAAAACTACCACCAATATTACAAAAAATAATACATATTAATTTAAAGAATTTATTATATTTTATCAGTTCATTTAATTTAATAAAAAACTTTAAAATTTAAAATATTTATAAAATGTTATTGAGTAAGCTTTTTTAAAAGAGTAAAGTACAAAAATGGTCACAAATGTTTGAGTACAATTTTATTTTATTCATCAAAGTTTCAAAAATAACAAATTGATTATTGACATTATTGATTTATAACAAATCGATCACTCGTCGTTAACAATCATTGTTGTAGTAACAAAATGTTGATTTAACACGTTAAATTAATTGACCTAACACCGTTTGACCATAGAGGACATTTTTGACTGGTTATTTAACTCTCCTATCTTGTTTTGTTTTTTTCTCGTCATCTTTGTTTTGTTTTTTTTTCCACCACAAAAGCATAAGCCAACTTCTTTCGATATAAACCTCCATCTCCATGACTTGTAACTCATTTTCTATTTGGGTATCGAAAACTTGACCTTCGTTTCTTTTGTTTATGAGTGATTCCTCTGCTCAGACAACATCGAGTAATAGGAATATTGCTTGACCATGTTGAGGGAGGTGATTGTTGGCATTCACGTTGGCAATGTTTTTGTTACTCGATGTTAACAGAGCAGATGAATCACTCAAAAGTTAAAAAAACAGAGGTGGAAGTTTTCGATAACCAAATGGCAAAGAGCTTGAGGTGACGGAGGTGGAGTTTCTGTCGGAAGAGAGAAAAATAATGAAAAAAAAAGTAAAACAAGAGAGTACAATCAAACAACCGATCAAAAGATGTCCTCAATGGACAAATGGTGTTAGGTCAGCTAGTTTCCTCAATGGCAAATGGTGTTAGGTCAACTAGTTGAACATGCCACATCAAGATTCTATTATTTCAGTAACAGTTGTTAACGACGAGTGACCAATTTGTTACAAATCGATAATTCTAGTAATTAATTTGTTATTTTTGAAATTTCAATGTAAAAATGAAAACTTACTCAAACATTAGTGATTATTTGTATAATTTACCCTTTTAAAAATTCATAAAAAGAAGGAGATGCCGTTTTCTACTTTACTTAATGAGGAAATACTAAAGAATTTTATTTTGGATTCCCAATTCGGATTTCTCAGCTTATCATATGTCTCATGTCATTGGCACTTATCAGTATTTATTTGAAAATGTTTATAGGAAAAAGATCATTGAAATCAATCATTAACATGCATGAGAATATGTTTTCATACTACATGTACATGTAATACGAAATGGCTACATCTGATGAATGAGAATATGTTTTCATATGTTCAAGGATCCTCTCCCAAAAATTTTTGATTTAATAGTATTTTATGTTCTTATCAATTTAATTTAATATAAAATTAAACTTTTATAATAACTAAGGAATAAATATATAATAAGTCTCTATTATTTTGAACTTAAGTTTTTGTCCTTCTTAATATTTGCTTCTGAATTTGTCCCGCATATGATGATAATAATTTGAATGATGAAGATTAAGTTGACACCTCATATAATTCGTTTAGTGAATTTAATGGTGAAAGGAAGTGTTATTTTATTTAGAAAATTCGGGTTTGAAATGCTAAATTTACAGAGAATATATATTTTATCGATGGTTAAGAAAAATTTAAAACAAATACTATTTTATATTTGTAATCTCCCTAGAAAGTTGATACCTTATGCTTAGCTATCACATGCATTACCCAAAACTCAATAATAAGGAGATGATTTTTGCATCTTAACCCTTCCATCAACGATAATAAATTATTATGGTTTTGTTCTACCTTCAAAATAATGGGCAACAGGCCACCCGTCCTTGCTGGCTGCCTACAATAATAAACTTAAATTATAACAATACTAGATGGGTTGATATCATGGACATGTGAACTCCCACGTTACTTGTATATTTAGATATGTTAGGATAAACCTAATCAATATTTTTTTTAATAACATGGAGTGATTATAAGATATTATATGTTCAGAATTCTTTTAACCAATTGATAATGCACAAACTACATAAACACAATTACTCGAATTCAAAACCTTTAAGAAAAACAACTTTCTTAATCTAATCCATATTGTCTTTTAATATATCTATTAATATAAATTTCATTATTTGTCCGTGATTATTAATTTGATTCCATAATTTGATTTATCAAATAAAAATAAACTAAATAATAACAAAAGAGTTGATTTTTTAATAAAATATCTAGTTCATATTACACGCATCGGTACTTGAAATAAACAATATAAATAACTGTATATATCGTCAATAATCTTTAAGACATTATGAAGGCTTAGAACTAGGGTAGCGGAGTAGTGTTGCCTTAGTTTAGGTTTTAACCCATTTGATTATATTCCTTCACGTTGCTTGTTCTCGTTGACTTCTGTGTATCATTCTTTTCATGTTTCCTCTTTTTAATTTTAGTCGAGTCTTACGTTTTTGTTTATATGCAGAGCTTTTTACGCAAGGAGTTACTTGCAGGGATTACTTTCCATTACAAACACGCATATGTAGACTGCATATGAAGATTGTTCAACTATGTAATTATTTATTTATATATACATGCATTGCATTTTATTTTTATTTTTATTTTTCTGACTGTCGAAGGTCTTTTACGGAAGCTGCTCTCAACCTGGCGTTGGGGGCAGCCTACTACCCTACCTCCCCTTACCCCATTACATATGGGAATAAAGTTTTGCTGTTGTTGTGATTACAAATTCTCGGTTGAAATATATTTATTTTTTTACATATCACTACTATTTGTAAACCTTTAAAAACTCTTCGTGATATTACACGAACAACAAACTTTCTATCTACGATTCCTATAGGGAATGAAAGTTCAAACAATGAGTCTATATTACCTTAGTGGTGTTCAGTCAAACCAATAAAATTAAATAATTATATTAAATAATTATAATGATAAAATATGGAATCAAATTATCATAAATACACAATATCAAATCATCAATAATGATCAAATTACTTACCACATAATTTGAATAATATATCAATAATAATAAATTCAATTTCCACCGCACAATTAATATCATTGTATCTTTTAATATTTGTAAGATTCCCTTAACTCAATTGATACATATTTATCGTATAACACATTACAAATAGTAAACGATTTATATTCATATCACGAACTAATATCATATGACACACTAATCATAAAAATCAAAGTCATACATGTATACCTTAAGCATGGCAATGTAGGATAGATGAGTATACTCCAGACATCATTACCATAATATCATCAAGTGCCGCTGTTGGACAATGTTCGACTCGTATTTATCAAAAAAGTTTGTTACTTGAATCGACTCATTGCTCGTTAAAATTTTGTTCGACTCGTTAAAAAAACTTATTGCTCATTAAGCTCACCAAAATTTGTATCTTATTTTTTTAACAATTTATACCTAAAGGATGGGAAGAGAAATTTCGCTCCTAATGAGTATTAAACCTACAACCTAGGAGAGAGGGAAGATGACAACTGAAAGCTCTTAACCACTTGTTCTAAATTATGTGGATAGTTTGTTTGTTTAGGGTTTGATCGATATTGGTCACCAATTTAAAAATTAAGGGTAATTGGTCCCTCACATAATTGTTCCGCCCGATTTAAGTATTTCTGCTATTAATTTTTGTTAACCCCTTTTGTTTAAGTATATAACATGATTGAGGAACTAAAATTGAACAGAGTTAATGTCTGATGGATTAAAATCGAATTCGAGAACATTAGGGATCATTTCCCTTAATTTTTTAAATTGACGACCAAAGTCGGTCAGACCGAAAACATAGGGGACTATTCACATAGTTTATCCTAGAGTTTAATATAAACATAAATTAATAAATTTAATAAAAAATATTATCAAAAGAGTGTATGAAACAATTTAAAAAAACCATCACATTTAAAAAAAGTCTAAATAATAAACACTAATTTACTAATAAATAATAAGAAAGATAGTAAATTACTAATTACCAATTATAACTAATTTACTAATATATTAATTTTCTAGTTCGTTGTATTTGTGAATTGTTACTTTAGAATTCAGATTAAAGTAACTACTAAAAAGTTAATAAGAGATTAATCAACTATTTGTAAACTTATCGAATCGAGTTAGTCCTTACTCGATTCAATTTATTAAAATTTTGAATCGTATTCGAATTCATATTATATTAATCGAATCGATCATTAATAGGATTTTGATCAAATCGAATTTAAACAACTCACGAATACTCAAACTTATTAAGCATTACTAACTGCATTAATATGTATTCTCCAATTGATTGTAATATCCTAAGTTAATTGTGTTTAACAAAGATCTCAATTATAAAATAAAGATAAATTATAAATTTAATCATTTAATTTTTTATAATTTCATTTTAATCACTCAACTAATTTTTTTTAAATCTTAAAGAAAAACTTCAACCTAAGCTAATTTTAAATCTTAAAGAAAAACTTCAACCTAAGCTAATTTAAATCTCGCAGCAGTAGTCCTCGAAAACTTGTTGAAGTTCAAAGGATAAGGAGGAGCTGAGCCAGAAAAAAAAAATTCGAATGTTAGCTTGCAAGTCTCTTTTCAGGTAAGCTTCTTTTACTTAACCCTCTACTTGTTTACTGAGAAACTGAGAAGGGGAAAAATAATTGAACTATGTAAACAAGAAAAACCCTCCCTACAAGGTAAAAACAATTAAAAGGAGAGAACTTTAGCTTTAAAATTGTCCATGTCAGGTTTCTTTTCTAAGTAAGATGAAAATTCAGAATTGGGTATCTCATTTTCCTCAAGGTTTAGTTTGAAACCTTACATGCGTCCTTTATTTATTGTATTTTCATGTCTGCTAAGCAGTTTATGTGTACACTATTATTTCAATTCACACCGTTGTTTATGTTTCAGTATCTTAGCAGGGTAGAGTTTAAAGGATTCAAGCCTGGCACAGATGAAATAAATGAAAAACAAAGCTTTCAATCGTTGAAAACCTTTATTTTTTTAATAAATAACGTGTTAATTCGGTAATTATTATCTATGCAGAGTTGACCGTTTGTTGAAGTTCACAAATACTTATTTCAAACCGAAGCCGGTTAACTACTTTCAGGTTTTTATCCCTATGAATGTGTTAAGACTTAAGAGCATCACAATTTCATGTTTATTCCCCTTTAAGCTTTGTTTTAAGATTCTTTTTAAATCTTTATGTAAGGTAGTGCAATCATCTTAAGTAATAAGACCTTATTGCAAACATTTACATTTTATTCTACCCTTGATTCTTCCATGTCACTGGTATGCTTGCTTTGGTTGATGTGGCTTCATTTGCAGAGGTGTCTTTTAAGGGTTAAACGATGATTATGTGTGTGTTTAAAGTGATAATCAAGTAAACTTTATGGTATAGGCCATAGCTTCGATAAGACTCAAACAATGTTTGAAACTTAGATGTTGTGTTCGCAAAAAATGGTAAGCTTGGTAGCCATTAAACTTTGACGCGCATGCTTTTTGAGCTTTCTTTATATCAGCAACGTGATTCACTTATTTTCCGTCTCAATTATGTTAGGTTGATCTTTTTTGTTTTTTCTGTGAAGGATTTTGATGTACTTTATTGCATTTGAAAGATATATTGAACTTTTGGTTCACCAAGGAAGTCTATGATTGGTCGCTAGGTTGAATAGGTAAAAGGCCCATTAAGTTTCGAAAAGTAAAAGAAAAAATTTAGACTCATGTTAAAATATTTTTCTCTCTCTCTCTGAATTAGTGGTTTGATCTGCATTTTCCTATCCAAGTTTTCTTATGCTACAGAAGAAAAGGCATCTGGATGTATCCTTTCCTTTCTGCCTAAACTCTGTTAAAATAGGTTAGACCATAAATGTTGTAGAGGTGGAAAGATGAAATTTGCAAGGTTGCAAGGTTCATTAAAGTTATATCAATTCATTACAGGGAAAATATTCTTATGAAAAATTGAGCCTTGATTTGAAGATAGGTGGGGCAAAAGATAACCTAGGCACGATGGACAAAAAGATAAGAAGGAAAGGTACCCCTGTATGGAGATCGGTATGTACTCAAGCTAGTTCCCTTGAAGGTATTTCTTGTTCTTGACAATACATAATGTTTTTATTCTCTCTCATATCCTTTTTGGATGGAGTTCATGTATGTATGTAACTCACGGTTAGGCTTTAATCTTGCTCGATAGTTGATGTGATTATACGTTTGTTTGTTGGTCTGATGAATAATAGTGTTTTAAAAAATCCCAAATGCTTCAATGCAGGTAAACTTTTTTTTTCAAATTTTGGATTAAATAAAGATTTGAGAACCTTTTTTACATTTTTGTTACTTGGATTGCTATTTACGTTTTTTTTTACAATCTAGCTGTAGCCTGTTTTGAGAGCATTATACTTCTTGGCAGAAGATTGCCTTGATAGTTGTATCTTTTGCTGGCTTATCTCTATTTAACGTGGCCTATAAAGTCTTTATGTTAATTTGCAGAGCCTGTGATAAAGGATGTCAAAGTCGAATCAGAAATTGGAAGTCAAATGCAAGAAGTAAATGAGTCAACAATTGAAGTTATTGATGCAACTGTCAGTCCTAAGTCCCTGGAGGATGATATCGAGGATGAGTCAATAAAAGAAAAGGCAGTGCTTTCAGCTGCAAAGCACTCACTTTCTGTTGAGGTAAAGTTAAATTGTTAAACATGTCAAAATTCTCTTGCCTTTTCTAATGCACATTACAGTCGTTGGTCCTTGCCCGTGAAGAGGATTTAACTATTAAGACCTTTCCTTATCTCAGTTGGATGATATTGAGGATGAGTCAGTAAAAGAAAAGGCAGTGCTTTCAGCTGCAAAGCACTCACTTTCTGTTGAGGTAAAGTTAAATTGTTAAACATGTCAAAATTCTCTTGCCTTTTCTAATGCACATTACAGTCGTTGGTCCTTGCCCGTGAAGAGGATTTAACTATTAAGACCTTTACTTATCTCAGTTGAATTTCTATGCCTTCTGGTCCTGTAGAAAATGATTCTAGAGTAGAACTTCCTTGTAGGAATTATGCACCTTAAGCTTTTGAACTTTTTTTATTCTACCAATAGTGCCTACTTTAGCTTTCTGTTGGTGCATTATTTTTGTGCTACTCTAGGTATTTGACCTTTTTCCCGCAGAAGCTTAAATTGACTTTTTTTTTTCTATGCTTGATAAGCAGGTTGGGGCCTCCGTGATTCGATTTGTAAGAGGAAAAGAGTATGGAGCTCAGCATCCAAGCATTACATATCTTTAGTTTAATTTTTAATTTTATTATTTTTAAATTTTTAAATTTTTATTATACCCTCTGCAGGGGTTCTACAAAGGAAAAGATTGAAAAGGAGACAGGAGTACAGATTATCCTTCCGTCATCAAAGCAGGAGGATGCTATTAGTAAGATTATTTTTTTCCAATTCCTTCAACTCTATCGGTTGTATCACATTTTCCCAGAGTTTTAACCTGAGCAGTGCCAAACTTATCTAGATGATGTTAGTGAATAAAAACTATTATTGAACCTTCACTAAAGAGTTTAAGCTTAAATTACTCTTGACATGGTATTAGAGCCCATTGGCCGTGTGGTCCAGAGCTCAAGTCACTGCTACTGTGTTGGAAATTCAATTCAGCATAAGGGTTGGTGAATAACAACTATTCTTGAACCCCAAGTTAGGTTGAACGGTCCTTTACATATGAAATGTTTGAATTCATGAAATTAACTTCAATGGTTTATTTCCTTTAAATGGTTATTGCTTGCAGTCATTGAAGGCACCTCTGCTGATAGTGTAACCAAAGCTTCAAAAGTGATACAACATATAATTGATGAGGTTAGCCATTAGTCAGCTATTTTCCTGTATTTTGTGATTGCTAATTTGCTATTTTTTAAATATTTGATTGGAAAACATGGGACATTGTTCTGGTGATCAATATCTTGTTTTCTTCAGCAACTTGACGACTGATGGTCAATAACCTTTTTGAGGTGACTGTTTCAATATTACAGGCGGTTAAGACCCCAAGTCTTGATTACTCTCACTTTGTGTCTCTTCCATTAGCTATACACCCTGAGCTGGTTGACAAGCTTGTCAACTTCCAGAATTCCATATTAGGAATCAAAGATACTTGTGCGGTTGAGAATCAAGAAGGCAACTCAGATGGAGATGCTTCTGAAAGTGATGCTCAGGGTCAGCAGTTTGGTAAAGGGTCTGCTGTCGCAGTTGAACTTAAAGTTGCGGATGGCAGGGAAAGCGTTAAGGTGGATATAAGTGGCATTCCTCTTGTTAGCTATGAACCTAAAGAACTTAAAGAATCAAAGCCTTCTAGATCATCAGGCAAGCAAACAATCTGATTCATTGATGCCTGCCCTTTCTTCTAAAGTTTCCATTTACACATTAGAATCTACATTTGTAGCATGGTGCATTTCATATGTTCATATACATGCATACACCTTTGGCTATTCCAAGTATTAGTACTGAATCATTTGTAAACTTTACAAAGGTTCCAGATTTCTGAAAATTTCATGTTTAGAAGTTTGTGAAACGTTGCACTTTATATTGGGCGTTAATAAATAGTCTTGTTCTGAATAATGGATCCCTACAATTTAGGGACTGTAAGCCACAGTCATGGAACTGTGTTGTTGATTATTAAGTTGCAATGCCTGTATTTTAACATTCTAATTATTTTTCTCTTCTTTTTGCTTTAACAAACCTTGCTGGTGTATATTGCACTTGACAGATTTGAGAATCGAAAAGTCCATATTTATTAAACCTAAAACGTTTCACCTGACGGTGCTCATGTTGAAGTTGTGGAACAAAGAACGAGTTAGTTTGGCGGCAGAGGTATTGAAGGTAAATTCTCTTGAATCAGATCCTCAGTTGGATATTATTTGATTCTGGCGGTGCTTAATATAATGTGTTCCCCCTACCCAGAGTATTGCCCCAAGAGTAATGGATGCCTTGGATAATCGACCTCTATTTGTAAGACTTAAGGGTTTGGTAAGTTTCTCATAGCCCAGATGTTCTGGCACTGGCTTAGTTAATATGTGATTTTGAGTTGTGAATAGGCTAATACTTTTTGATCCATTAGTTTGCCAACTCGGAAAGCATCGACTCTTTCGTAAGTTTCCTTAAGCTAGTGATATGCATGCTCGAGTTAATTGATTGCATCAATTTCATTGCAGGATTGCATGAAAGGTTCTTTGGACAGAGCCCGAGTCGTCTATGCTCCTGTAGAAGAAATTGGTAGTGAAAATCGACTTTCTCGTGCCTGTCGTATCCTATTTTCCCAGTTTATAGTATTTCCTTTTATTTTATTCGTGCAATTGAAAATGGAAAAACAATAATCATGTTCTTTCCTCTTGAAACTTTGTGTGTGTGTGTGTGTGTGTGTCAATATTCTCTTTTGAATTCCTTGACTTTTCTTAGAAGTTATTATTGATGCTTTTGTTGAGGCTGGGCTTGTTCTAGAAAAAGATATTGGACATGAGTTAAAGGTAAGACTTCTGATCTTCTGTATGTTTTGTTCTTTCTCCTTTTCCCTGATATTAACTGCTTGTGCGATATGTGTACTTATCAATATTCACAAAGTATGCCCTAATTGTTTGTTCAAATCTACGAGCGTAATGAGATTATAGTCTTTCCTTCTATCCTAGATTCACCTTTTGGGCATGCTCTGCTCTTCATTTTCTTCAGGTCGACCTCTTTTGCTTGATACTTATTTGCTTGGATCAATCTGTAAAAGAGAGGAAACTACCATAGATATCTTATTACTCATTTTGTACAGTAACGCCTATTATACGAACAAATAGTAAGGGGCATGTCATCAAGTCTTGGTCCATGAAACATTGTTCTCTCCATAAAAGCTCTAGAAGAATGAACATAGTTAAAAGGTTCGTACCATGGATGGAGCTTGAGAAAAGCTGCAAAGTGTCGAACTCTCCCAACATGGCAGGGACCCTAGTGCCTTAAGTCAGTCTTTGGCTTCCCCTTTGCCTTGTCTGGGTTTTGTCCATCTGATGGTTTTTTCCTCCTCAAGCAACGGTCCTCTAAATCATAAAGACAGCACCATTTCTTAAATGTATACCTTGAGATTTGTAAATCAAACACTGAACGACAAACTTATTTCCTGAAAACCTTTTTAGACTGTTGCGAGGGAAGGAAATAAGTCGAAAGAAAGTGGACAGAATTGTATCTAGAAGTCAATATACAAGCTCTTGTGCCTTGCATGAAACATAGTTTGCTTGTTCTTTTTAGTTCATATGGTTTTCCATTCTTTTTTGGTAAAAAAAGTATTAACGGTATCCTCTGTTAAATTTCAGTTGCATGCCACTGTCATGAACGCGAAGCATCGGAAAAGGTGCAATCCTGTTTCCATGTGATTGCGCCTTTCCCAAATTTTTTTATGTTAATTATTTATTTGGATTGTAACTGATCAGGAGGGGAAATCGGATGGGGAGGTCGGATTCGTTCAATGCATGCGGCATTTTCAAGCAGTTCGGATCGGAGGAGTGGGGTGAGTATCTCATCCGTGAGGCTCATCTTTCACAAAGATTTAAGTATGATGAGAATGGTTATTACCATTGTTGCGCTTCAATCCCTTTCCCTGAAAACATGCAAATCCACTGATTCTTCTGTTCAAGAGAGTATTAGATCTTTGCTTTGGTGTTGATTTCATGTTCTGAAAAATGCAATAAAAGATTCTTTTTCTTATTGTTATTTCATATGTTAAAGTGGGGACAGAGGATGTTAAAGATTATTCGAATCGAGTTTATATCAAACTATTTTAGACCAGTTCAGATCGAATCATATTAAGACTTGAAGAAATTTTGATGAAACTGGTCCGGTTGTTTGAACGATTAATATAATAAACGTAAGGGTTATTGTAAAATATTTTGATCAAAATCGAGAGAAATTATGAAACTTCTTCTCCTTCACCATCACATTCTATCTTCTTGTATCAAAAGAACATAAATATCTGTCAATGATCAATCTCTTACCGATTAAAGTTTTTTTTAATCTAAATCAAATTGGATGAACTATTTATAACAGTAGTGATCTATTTATTCTCATCAACACTATATAAATTTAATTAAATTCAATCATGTAATCCTCTTATCAATAATGAATGGAATTTGGATGTAAATGTAGACTTGCCTTATTTCCCTTGAGAGTAGGGTTGCACATTTATCGGATTTCAATCCGATCCGGATCGGTTTTTATTCGATCCGGTTTTTCCCATAGAAAAAAAACCGGTTTATAAAATAACCGGTTCGGTTTCTAACCGGTTTGGAGGGCCGGATATCCTAACCGGTGTAACCGGTTTCGGTTTTAAAAAAACCGATTTTTTTAAAAAACCGGTTATAAAAAAACCGATTTTAATATTATTAAAATTACAAAAATAAGATTTGAGAGATGTTTAAGTGTTGTGTAATAAAATTTGAGAAAGTTGTAATCAATCAAATACATCCCCAACCTATTTATACATGTTTTAGGGTGGTAAAATGGTAATTTTTTAAAGAAAAAAAGGTCAAAACGGTCACAAAACCCCCCCAACGGCTATATTAACGGCTAGTTTTTTAAACCCATACCGGTTTTTTTTTCCCGGATAAAAACCGGTTTTTTAACCGGTTTTTTTCAAACCGGTTTTTTATCCGGTAAAAAAACCGGTCTAGGTTTTTTTCTCCAAACCGGTTAAAATAACCGATTAAAAAAAATCCGATCCGGTTAAAAAAAACCGGTTTTTCCCAAATCCGATTTCGGATATTTTTTTCGTAAAATCGGATATTCGGATTTTTTGTGCACCCCTACTTGAGAGTCCATAATAATTCTAAATTATGGAACTCTTATTCTTCTTTAATATTCTCATATATAGTATTTATATGTGACTAATCAAAAGGGTTCCAGTTAAGCTATTTTCTTTCTATTATATCCTTATCTAGAAATAGCCTATAGCCTAGCTCTCTTTTTCTTTCAAATATGGCAGGAATCGCCTAGGCCGCTTCGATGATTCCTTCAATTTAGGCTCACTCAAGGCCTACCTTGCCGAGTTTATTTCAACTTTGGTCTTCGTTTTTGCCGGCGTCGGCTCCGCCATTGCTTACAGTTAGTTCCCTCACTTGCACAAACTAAAACATCGCTGCTATTTATTTTTTTGTTGAAATAATTTGTGGGTTTTGGTGCAGACAAGTTGACAACAGATGCAGCCCTGGATCCTGATGGTCTAGTCGCCATTGCGGTTTGCCATGGATTTGCTCTCTTTGTTGCAGTAGCCATTGGCGCCAACATATCAGGGGGCCATGTCAACCCTGCTGTCACCTTCGGCTTAGCTCTCAGTGGCCAAATCACCATCCTCATCGGCATCCTTTACTGGATTGCTCAACTCCTTGGTTCCATTGTTGCTTGCTTCTTGCTCAAGGCTGTCACTGGTGGCTTGGTAAGCCTAAATAAATATTGTTATAACACTGGAGATATTCTCCGAAAATATTATCTCTCCCACAATTTATTTGGAGTCTCGTACTCCCCAAACAACCGTCCGAAGATTATACTTCTAACAATAAGTTTATTTAACAAAATAAATTTACTCTAACAGTAATAATTATCTTATTTAAATTAACCTACAAATAATCATCGTTATGATAAATCTGACATCAATCATCCTATAACCGAAGTATTTATACCTAAAAAAAGACTAAAAGAGAGGATCTTCATCCACTTCCTTCTCCTTCTTGACTCCTATCTTTTCCTTTATGTTTTCCTAGCAAATGTTTGGGTTTTTTTTTTATTGCAGACAATTCCCACCCACGGAACTGGAATTGGAGCTATTGAAGGATTGGTGGCAGAGATCATCATCACGTTTGCATTGGTTTACACTGTGTACGCAACCGCAGCTGACCCGAAGAAGGGGTCAGTCGGCACCATTGCACCCATTGCCATCGGCTTCATCGTTGGAGCCAACATCTTGGCTGCTGGTCCATTCTCTGGTGGATCCATGAACCCAGCTCGCTCATTTGGAGCAGCAGTGGCTAGTGGCGACTTGAGCGGCATTTGGATCTACTGGGTGGGACCACTCGTCCGTGGTGGCTTAGCTGGACTTATCTATAGAAATGTGTTCATGCACTCCCAACATGCACCATTATCCAATGACTTTTAAGTTAAATCTAAGTGACGAATTCATTTGCTGTCATCTTTTAATCCATTGGTTTATTGTAATAAAAAGTACGGAGTGGCAGTTATCAGGGATGGATCCTTAGTTTTTTTTTTTATTTAAAATTATCATATATTTTAAAGGCATAATGCAAATAAAATACCCCTAACGTTTGACACTATATGCATTTGTGCTCAAATCATTTTTTTTGGAACAGTTGTACCCACAACGTTTAAATCTGATTCAAAAGTCACCCCCGTTGGATGGAAACCGTCAGTCAACTGACGATCAACGGCTCTAGCTGACTAAGTAAGCACAGGTGGACATCAATGATGATGTGGCATGTCCACGTCACTAATATATACTGACGTGGAATTGACATGTCAACAATTTTTTTGGTTAAAAAATTTAATTTCAATTAGAATATTACACCAATAAGAGAATGACACATGACACTCTCCTACTAGTGCGTATTGACAAGAATAAAATAAAAGTCTCTTATTTGCATGGAAGGGGGAATCAAACCTAGGGCAAGGGCATGAAATGAGATGGCCCTTGCCACCAAACCAAGCATGTTATTTAGTTATATAATTAAACAAAAGATTATTTAACCCATATTAAATTTTCAGTTTAATGTCAACGATCGAAGAAGTTGAGCATTTGTTGTTGTTAACAACTTTTGCCCTTCCACACCATGAATCGTTTCCTAACGACAAAACCAGCAGATCCTCCACGCCATTGACTTACGGGAAATCCCTCTTGTTATGGAGTACGTGCGTGATTGCAGCGGCGGAGGATTGTTCATGACCAAACCGCTGTCCACGGCGGAGCAAGTGGTCTTGCCATCGACGGATGTCAATGGGAAAGGTTTGAAGAAGCTTGGTGATTTGAAAGCGTCGGCACGAGAGAAAACAAAGGGAGCAGAACTCTTGAGGTCGAAGCAAGGAACCAGGAGAGGCTTACACGTGTCCTTCAGTGTCAAATCCGTCTCGTCTTCTCTCCTGAACGTTTCCTTCAGCACCTTATCCATGCTCTTACAAGAGAATCTCTTCTGACGGTGAAGAACTCCGGCAAGCTTATTAACTTTGAAGAGCTTGGAGTTATTCTGAGTGATAAACCTGATAGCTTCTCTAGCAGTAAAAAGCGGATGGCCAGTTCCATTGTCGGCGGAGAGCATGGCGGCAATAATAGCACCGACGATAGTGCCGGCTATCATGTCAAAGAAATCGGCAATTTGAGCTCGAGGATCACCAGTTTTGAGGCGGATATGATCTTCAAGGTGTATAAGAGTGGCACCGGCGACAATGTCGGTGGTTCCACCACCGTTAATGCTGAGGATCCGAATCTTATTGGTGGTTTCACAGTGAGACATCCATTTCTGCTCAACACTCTTCGCCTAGTGAGACCGAAATTTGCTGAAGGAATCCAGTCAGGGCCGGCTCTGGGCAGGGGCAAGAGGGCACCCGCCCAGTACTCATAATTTTAATTTATATTAATTTATTATACTTTAATAAATTAAATTAAAAATAAGGCCCATAAATATTAATATATTATTTTCTACATTAATGCAAGAGGTCCCATAAATATTAGTGTTCAGTTTAAAATTTTTTAACGTTTTCTCATCATAACGTTAATGCAAGAGGACCCATAACGGTTACCATAAATATTAATATATTATTTTCTACATTAATGCAAGAGGGCCCATAAATATTAACGTACATTAATGCAAGTTGAGTTTAAAATTTGTAAACGTTTAAATTTGATGTTCTCATCATAATAACGTTAACGCAAGAGCCAAGAGGGCCCATAACGGTTACTTTTTTTATTTCCTATAAATGATAGGAGAATATTGAAGTAAAATTAATTTATTTCTTATTGTTCTCAATTTTCAATATCTCATATTTCTCACAATTCACAAACACAATTACTTATCATCAATTGTGGTCATTGAAGATATTTTTAAAATCCTAAGTAAGTTTGTGTTTTCAAATTCTTTTTCTTTTTCTTTTTATATATTTCTAAATTATAGATAAACTTATTCTCTTTTTTTTGTTTCATAAATTTTGGATATGAAATGTCAAACGTGGATATGCAAATACTTCATATTCCTTCTAAGTTCAATCATTACGGTGTTGCGAATTTGATGTATAAATACTTCGATCGAGGATCTTCCCATTTACATGTGTTATTGTTCTTTTCTACATTAGTTGCATTGTTATATAATTTTGCCTAAAAAATATTTGTTTGGTAGTGAAAAAAGAAAAAAAAAGAAAACAAATAGATGATTTAATAGAATCACAAAAGGAAGCTCTTGATAAATTCTTTAAAAGTGGAGTATGAGAGCCTTCTAATGAAAATTTAAATGATATTGCTGGGAATTTAAATAATATTGATAGTTCTTCAAATTGTACCAATCTAGGTGTTACTGATGCAAATTACCATGATATCCTAAATCATATAGATGGTGACATTTCTAATTTAAATGTCCATAATCATGTACAAAATGAGTTTAATGTTGAAGATGTTAGGATTGATCAACACTTAGTCCCTGCTGTGGACATTTATGATCCTAGAAATTGGGGTAATATTGATAATAAATCTTGAGATATTTTAGTTGAAAAGGGGCCTATAAGAGAATTGAATTTGAAATTTCCCTTAGCCAATAATTCTAGGCATTTTTCATATGCTTATTTTTCTAAAAAGTTGAGTAATGGAGAGATTAGCGATAAAAAATGGTTAGTCTATTCTAAATATGTGGACAAAGTTTATTGTTTTTGTTGTAAATTGTTTACAAAGCAAAACAATAAGATTTATTTAGCAAATGATGGATTAAATGATTAGAAGCATCTTAGTGAGAGACTCGAACAACATGAAAATAGTATTGGGCATATGACTAACATGAATATTTGGAGTGAATTAAGAGTGAGATTAAAAACTTATTAAACACTTGATAAAGATTTACAACAAGGAATTTCAAAAGAGAAAGAACGTTGGAGGCAAGTTTTAATAAGAATAGTATGTGTTGTAAAATGTCTTGCTAAAAATAATTTAGCTTTTCGAGGATCTAGTGAGAAAATTTACGATGAGAATAATGGAAACTTTTTATAATTAATTGAAATGATTGTTGAATTTGATTTACCTATGCAAGACCATATTAGACGTATTCAAAATGAAAATATTCATTATCATTATCTTCGTCATATCATTCAAAATGAACTAATCTCTCTCTTGGCCCATAGTATTAGAACTTCTATTCTAAAGACCATCCAGAAGGCAAAGTATTTCTCTGTTATTCTTGATTGTACCCCTGATGTAACTCATCAAGAACAAATGACTCTAATAGTGCGATGCGTAAATATGTCAAACAACAAAGTAAAAATAGAAGAGTACTTTTTAGAGTTCTTGAAAGTGGATGATACATCTGGATTGAGGCTTTTTAATGAATTAGTAAATACATTGCAATCTCTAGAGTTGAACGTTGATGATGTGAGGGGCCAAGGATATGACAATAGTTATAATATGAAAGGAAAACACCAAAGTGTTCAAAAGAGATTACTTGAAATAAATCCTAGAGCTTTATATATGACATGCGCTTGTTATAATCTTAATCTTTCTCTTTATGATATGGCACATTCATGTGTTAAAGCTATTTATTTTTTTGGGATTGTGCAACGTATATATTCATTGTTCACAAGTTATACCAAAAGATGGAAAATTTTATGTGATAATATTCCGGAAACTGTGAAATCTTTATTTGATACTCGATGGGAAAGTCGAATTAAAAGTGTCAAAGCTATCAAATGTCATGCTCCTAAAATAAGGTAAGCTTTGTTAAAATTATATGAATATTGTGGTAATGATGCAAAAGCAGAAAGTTTAGCTAGTGCCCTTCAAAGTTTTGAATTCTTACTTGGAATGGTTATCTGGTATGATATTTTATTTGCTATCAACACGGTAAGTAAGAAATTACAATCTAAATCAATGTGCATCGATACTACCATAAAGGAGTTGGAAGGTGTAATGTCATATTTTGAAAACTATAGAAATAAGGGGTTCGAATCTAGTATAGATATTGCTAAAATTCTTGCATTAGATATGAACATAGAGTCATTTTTTCTGACTAAGCGTCGTATTTTTAGAAAAAGACAATTTGATGAGAATGATCATGATGAAGAAATACAATCAGCAGAGGAGTCTTTTAAAGTTAATTATTTTGTTGTTGTTGTTGATATGGCGCTCGCTTCTTTGAAAGATAGATTTGAGCAGTTAAAGATTTTTGAAAATTATTTTAGATTTTTAATTGATTTTACAAGATTAAAGTCATTGGATGACAATAAATTAAAAGAATGTTACAATAATTTTAAGATTATTTTTTCTTATAATAATTTGTCGGATGTTGATGCAGATGATTTTTTTTTTCTGAAATGAAAGTTTTGCAATTGACTTTGTCAAATGTATTCATGTCAGCGCTTGAAGTTCTTGAGTTTGTTAAAGCTAGAGATTGTTATCCTAATGTTTCAATTGCTTATCGAATCTTATTAACACTACCGGTAACGGTAGCATCCGCGGAAAGAAGTTTTTCAAAGCTGAAATTATTGAAGAATTACTTGAGGTCAATCATGTCACAAGAAAGATTGAATGGGCTAGTTATGCTATATATTGAAAAAAATATGTTGGAAAACATTGATGTTGACACTATCATCAATGATTTTGTATCAAAAAATGCTCGAAGACAATGTTTTTTATAAATATTTATATGCTTAAATATGTTTTTGACATTTTTGATATTGTAATGAATTAATATTTATTTAATTTAATAAAAATTAATTAAAATTTTATATTACATATTTTTTAATATACTAAACTTGTAATTTACTCTTGTTAATATTACAATTGAAATTTCCACGTTACCTTTAGCCGGTCCAAAAGCACTAACACCTGTCGTGCCAAGTGCCAACTATGCGCAAGTGTGACAAAGCCAAAATCAACTACCTGACAGCTCGGCCGTCTTCGTTCCCAAACACAAAACCTGTCTTTGCCCTAATTCAATCCCCATCATCAAAATTCAACCATCTCCCTTCTTTCTTCATTCTAGTAATCGATCAAATAGATCGATTTTAATCCCTTCAATTGAATCCAAGAATCTGGGTTTTTCTGTATAACTTTTTTTTTCCCGAAATGGATTCGAGCAGGCGAGCGGTGGAATCTTATTGGAGATCGCGGATGATAGATGGGGCTACATTGGACGAAGACAAAGTAACGCCCGTTTATAAGTTAGAAGAGATCTGCGAGCTCTTGAGATCGTCTCATGTTAGTATCGTTAAAGAGGTCTCCGAGTTTATATTGAAACGACTCGATCACAAAAGCCCCATCGTCAAACAAAAGGTAACTTCATTTCAATTCGCTTTGAACTTCGTTTCGATTTGGTTAAATCTAGTCAATTCTAATCAATTTGTCGTTTTGGATGGGGAAATTTTCCCGGTAAAGTTATAAATCCAAAATTTTGAAGTTGAACTCAATTCAGTCAGTAGTTAAAATATCAGTATCGAAGTATAACTTGTGTTTGTATATAAATGCAACTAAAGCAAAAGCTATTTACAAAGAGCCTAATAGACTTCAAAGGCTAAGAAGTTTTGGTATGTAAATGCTCTGAATTTACGAAATGTTTAACTTAAAGGGTAGAAAATACGTATTATATATGAATTATCTGAACATGCTAGAATACTCAGTTGGTAGTGGGATTTTTACAGGCTTTGAGGTTGATAAAATATGCAGTGGGGAAGTCTGGTGTGGATTTTAGGAGAGAAATGCAGAGGAACTCTGCCGCTGTGCGTCAGTTATTTCATTACAGAGGGCAACCGGATCCTTTGAAGGGCGATGCTCTCAATAAGGCTGTTCGGGAGACAGCTCATGAAGCTATTTCTGCTATATTTGCAGAGGACAATAATCCCAGTAAGCCTTCTCCTGCAGATGACCTTAACAAACGAATACAAGGATTTGGGAACACAAACTTTGAAATGCCCCCGGATGATAAGAAATCATTTCTAAGTGAGGTAGTTGGCATTGGAAGTGCTTCTATCAAGCATGGAATTAGTAGTTTCACTCAGGGTCATTCACTAAGAAAGAATGATAATGGAAACTACAAAAGCCCTACTCTTCGAAGGTCATTGACTAGAGAAATTGACCATTCTGATAGGTACGAACCTGTTGATTTGCACAATGAAACTCAAAGGGTTTCTGGGAGTTCTGCTAGTGGACCTTGGGGCCAGGATTCAGGAGTATTAAAGACAGAAATTACAAATGGAGAATCTAACTTGAATAAAGCGACTAAAAGTCGTGAAGAGAGATTGTTGGAAACAATAGTGACATCTAGTGGTGTTCGTCTGCAGCCTACTCGAGATGCAATTCAGGCTTTCCTTGTGGAGGCTGCAAAGCTCGATGCTTTGGCTTTAAGTCATGCCCTTGAATCTAAGCTTCTATCTCCAATGTGGCAGGTAACTCTCTGCACCTATTTAATAAATTATGAGTGCGATGGTACTGTTCTTTTTTGTTTGGGGGCGACCTGCTACCCAAATCGGTTTAACCTTAACTACTTTGGTCGTTGGTGTACCTGGAGGCACACTACATGATCATGTTTGTATTGGTGATTGTTCTATATAAAAAGATAATGGTTTAACCAGAACTAATGATGGCCAGGTTCGCATGAAAGCTGTATGTGTGCTTGAGTCCATTTTGAGGAAAAAGGAAGATGAACATTTCTTAATTGTGGCTTCTTATTTTACCGAGAACAAAGATGTTCTTTTGAGATGTTCCGAGTCTCCCCAGACTTCCCTCAGAGAAAAGGCCAACAAGGTAAATATCTTAGTCAACCCTCTGTTTTACTTTTAATCAGAAAGATGAAAATAATTTTTGTTACTGATTAAAGCCAGCTCGGAGTGCTGAATTTGGTGGCATGTTGTAGATTCTTTCTCTTTTTCCTTTTCTTTACCAACCAAGAAACTACAATAAGCTCTAATTTAGGAAATTGGTGTCATGGGAGATGAAGGAAAAATGAACTTATGCTTAAGAACTTGCTTTTGGTAATATGGAAAAATTTATGATTAAAGCTAGGAAGGCCAATTGAATTCCCATCCTGTTTGAGTTCGTAAAGGTCTTGCATTTTATGATTGCATATGTAAGCAAAGCTAAGTTGATCTATTGTTTTTCTTTCAAATGGGAGAAAAATCTAGGAAACTTGTGTTATCTATTAATATTAAGCCTGTTGCATAGGTTTAGCGAATTAAAGAGAACATTCATATTGATAAAATTGTTGTTTTCTCTTTATTATTATTGTTATAGATCAACTTTATATTTACTTTTGTTTGAACCTATGGATTGAGATATTTTAAGATGTTCCCGTTTGATGCCACATTATATTTCAGTTCCCTTGTTTTGATTTCCCTCCAGCATGAATGACCATAGTCATGATCTTCTTATGATCATCGTGCTTTAGTCTTGATTGCTTTAAATGTTATGCTTCATAATATGACTTGAAAAGTTATTATTTACTCTGAACACTAATTTAAAGCTGGTAGGATATGAGTTCCTCTGTTAACGAAATGGATGCCACTATTGATCCTTTTGAGATACTTTTTGTTTCAACCTTCAAAATGGGATATTTTAAGCTTGCTCTCGTTTTATGTATCACAATATGCTTCTTAAACAGGTGTTCATCCTTTTGAATGGGGAACAACATGGTGTTTTGGCAAGTAATTCAGAAAAGTATTTGAAGGCTGAGACCACTCCTGTTCAAATGCCTGATCTGATCAACACTGGTGATCTAGATGATTACAATGGACTGGATACTTCTGAAAAACACCAACATGACCTAAATACTGCAGTACGGACAGCAACACTGCTTATTGATGACTTATTTGGAGATGGTATAGACACTGGTCTCAGCACCAGGGAACTGAAAAATGATGATGATCCCTTTGCAGATGTCTCATTTCACACCGGTGAGGGTAGAGAAAATGTGGATAATCTCTTCTCTGGGATGACTGTAGATGACAAGTCAGCTGTGAGTGGTAATTGTTTGGCTGCAAACGAAAAATCTGAACTAATTGATATCTTTGGGACCAATTCTGATACTCCATTTGAGCTAGCGAATAAAAAAACTGATGTTAACGATTTAGTGGCTGGCTTGTCTATGAATGAGAATCCATCTAATTTGAAGAAGAAAGGAATCTTTTCTGAGGTGCATCCTGAAGATATATTTGCCAATATCAACACTCATTCTAGCCATCAAGCTTCTAATGATGCTTTGAGTGGTCTTCTTGGCTCCCAAACAAGTGGGATGAATTCAAACACAATGCTTCCTTTAGGGACCATGCCATATTCCATACCTCCTGGATTAATGTTGAACCCAACCTTTTCTCGGCCTATGAATTATGGTGCTATGGGGAGTTTCTTTGCTCAGCAGCAATTACTTGCAACAATGTCCAACTTACAACACTTTGGTAATCTTAATGCACAAAATGGTGGCTTTAATAATGTTTCAAGTGGATCTAATGGAGGATCACCTCTTCCTGATATATTCCAGTCAAATTTTCCAACTCAAACACCCAGTTCAATGCTGAACAGTTCAAAGAAAGAGGATACCAGAGTATTTGATTTTATTTCGGTGAGTTCAAGTTCTAGCATATGTTAATTATGGTAGTGTTGTACCAATCTCCTCTTTGCATGATAAGCTATATTCTTTCAAGTAATTGTGGCATTACTTATTAAAATTTATGAGGTCTTTCACTGGAATATCTTTTACTAGATAGGCCATGCTCATAGGAGTGCCACGTTGGATCCTAGAAAATAAAGATTTAAAACCTTTAGCTTCCAATCAACCCTGTCTTTATTTCCAAATTACAATGACTTCTGCTGTTTGTATTGTGACTCGTACCATATCTTATGTTGGATCACAAGTTTTACCCACCGTAGTGGTGGTCAAGCCTAATTACTCAGCCAGGTACTTAACGCTAAAAAACTTCTTCGTGCTAAATTCTTTATACCATGCTAAAATAGCATTTCAAAGGGTGAAAGTGAGGAATTAGTAAGAATTGCTGTTTATGCTGGATGCCACATGTAGAGAAAAGTAATAACTTGCTATTAAACTTGTCAAATCAGGATGAGAAATGATTCAGTTGTGAAGTGAGTTGTTTGTGGATTACATTTTTGCGGGACCATATTGCAGCTGCTCGTGATCCAAAGAGGACGGCATAATGTTACTGTGCCGGAATGGACTTACCGTCTTGGAATCTCCAGGGCACTCCAATGATGGTAATTATTCATCTGAAATTGGATCAGTGATGTTACATGCATCTTCGACCCTTGCATTGCATTTAATATAAGTGTGAGGGATATCCTTGAGCATAGGCTATATACTCTTAGGCTTGTTTGTAATTGAGATGAAGGAAAATTGGGAAAATGTTGTCCAGTTGCAATTAGATGGTTTAGTACTCATTTATGATAATGATTCTTTTGTAATGGATTTGTAGAGTTGTACTTCCAGTTTCCCCTAGAAAAGCTTGTTAAAGGCAAATGGATAGAAAAGAGTAATAAATGCCATTTGCTTTAAGCTTGTTTATAGTTATAATGTTACAATCGAACTCGGTTAATGTAAGCAGCCACCTTTTTAGCATGTTTAGGTTTAAATCTCTACCCTCAAACGTTTAAACCTTTTTCCATATATTTGGGTTAACCATTTTCTTTGTTAAAAGAAAAATGTAGGCCATCGGCAGGCTTGGTTTCTTAAAAAAAATGAACTCATATTTGGGTTAATTGGCTTATTTTATAATCTATATTTATTTAATTTTTTTGAATTAAATCGAATTATAAGGAAATATTAATAGTGTTATGGTCATAATTAATTTTAATTTAAATGTTTTTTTATAATTATATATGATTTATGCATATTTCTTCGTAATATATATGTATATGTATATATCATGTAGAATTGAAAGATTCAATTTAAACTTAAAAAATAATCTAGAAGTTATGAAAAATTTTGAGTTATTTGAATCTTATTTTATAATTCAAATTTTATTTGAAGATTTTTTGAGAGTTTGCAAAAATTACGAGTTGTCAAGTTAAATCTTATTCTCAGTGTTGGTTTGAACGAAAAATCGATCTTTCTTAATGTTGATTTAAATCAAAAATCAATTTTTATTTATTAAAGTCGAGTTTTACTCGTTCCTATCTATACAAGCAATTAAGTCCACAATCCTCATCATGTTAATTGCGTTGCCTGTAAATACAACTCGGGTAAAAAAATGAAAATGAATAATCAGCGAGAATCATAATTTTAAAAGGCGTAAAACGTTGCTATTTTAAAATTAATCATATGTATAGCCTACTTTCATCTAGTTTTATAGTCGAGCAGAAAGTTTAATGTCAAAAGATCTATTTCATTGTCTTTTTTTTTTTTGATTAACCTAAATAATATCCACTCTGATTCATGCATTTAACTCCTGCAATTTGTGGACACCAATTTTCATCCATATATAATATCATATATATATCACATATATATATTACTTAAATAATATATTTTTTCTTTATTTTACAGATTCCAGGACCCGAACCAGTCAACAACCGTTTCAGCCCTCCACCAGCACCGCTTCTCACGCATCCAACAACCCATGCACCGGATTTCTCGGCACCAATATTACCAACAAACTACCCACCTAATAACCTACCACTATCACCACTACCTTACCACTCTCTGCCACTTCGCGAACTCCTCCACCTCCACACATTTATATACCACTTTTCTATACAAGAAGGTGGGGGGGGATTTCTGGGGACAGCCCCACTCTTTCCATTTCCCCAAAGTCTAACCTGGTGGGGGAATTAATTATTTCCCTCTGCAAACTGGAAAAGACGCTTATCTTTAAAAGAACCACTGGCGCCGACAACGAATCCAATACCTTTCTTTTTCAACTTTGTCAAAGTAGCTTTACCTCAAAACCCATCCTAAAATTTGGCTCTCACCGCTCTCATATCTTCTTCTTCATCACTGACCAAGAACACGCACGATTTCATGGGCAGTGGCAACTTGTTACCCTCGACAGGGCTTTACTCAAACATGCAAGAATAATCGTGCTCGATGAGGCAAAAGCATCGGTTGATACTGCCACCAATAATCTCACACAGAAGATCATCAGAACAGAGTTCATGAATTGCACTGTTTGCACTATTGCACATCGTATTCCACCGTAATCGACAATGATCTTGTTTTGGTGTTGAGTGATGGTCGAGTTACAGAGTTTGATACTCCGGCACGTCTCTTGGAGGATAAGTCATCAATGTTCCTAAAGTTAGTAACCGAGTATTCCTCTAGATCAAGTGGTACACCAGATTTTGAAATAGATTGCAAGTCCAAAATTCTTCTTCCACTCGGGCATAAGGAGCTGAGGGACTGTACAAGAATGAACCTGTGCCACTGCTTCTTTCTCGCAGCACTCAGCTAACACAACGACAAAGGGAAATGGAAAATGAGAAGACCAAGCCATTTAACCAAAAATCCAAGGAGAATTTGGGGCCACCATGCTGGCAAATGACGTGGAGGAGGGTGTCTGGGACTGTTAGCACAAAATTAAAGATGCTAGGACCTTGGCTTGGGGCTACTGCTCGCGTGGAAGGGAGCTTCTGGGGCTTGTTGGTAGCAGCTGCTGGCGTGGATGAGCGTTGGGGATCACTCGGCGTGTGACTCGACTGTTAGGGGGTGGCTTGGGTGCTGATGTGCCTTCATCATGGATGGAGGACTACGGGTGGCTGCTGAAGAGCCGTGGGAGTGCGAATGAAACCTTAAAAGGGTTTGTAGGTTTGTGATAGTAATAGGGGTTATTTTCTCTTTTAGTATATGTATTGTTTGATATTTTCTTATTTTTTTCTTAATATATTTATTGTTATTTTCTCAATTTATCTATTTATTTATTTTTCTCTCTTCGATTTATTTAGTATTTATTTTTCAATCTAACATTTTTGACCTTTTTAGGGGTAATTCCAATCGATCAAAGGTAAGTAATTCGAATCGAATTTTTAAATTTCAATTTAAATTCTTAATTTTTGCAATTAAAGACAACCGACAAATTAATTGGTACCGAAAGGGCGGTTCAAGGGTGATAATCCTTCCTTAACCATAACCGACTCCCGAACCCGACACATTTCTGGTAAAATGCAGATCAGGTAAGATGGTGTCCGACCTACCTAAATTCGTTTTAAAATGGTCGGTGGCGACTCCAATTCGTTTAATCCAAGTCGAAGCCCAATTCCGGGGCATCATTAACCAATATACCCTCAAACACCATACCCTGCTCTTGTAATTAACCAATATACCCTTTTCCTTTCATAAGGTGCGGACAACACGGGGCATCATTTTCATATGACAATTACTAAGTTTTTTATTTAAGACGTTCAATGACGATGATGATCTTTACAAATGAAAGAGTCGAGTAGGTGAATCCAGTTTACGTCAGTTGCTTGAAAATTGAACTCTAAAGATGAGATTCCTTGACTTTCAAAAAACACCTAGGCTATAACAGGTTCTTCTTGACAATCTTAGGAAATTAAATCCGTAAAAATTGAGCTATTCCGCTAAGGCAATTGGTTATAGAGGAAACTTGAAAGCCCTGGCCTTATGAGTAGATTACGTTCAAACCATGACATTGCTCGGACACTTGGCAATTCGGTGTTTGCTCCACTGCTCTTGTCAGGCTGAAGACTCTGTGATGAGATGAACCCTTCAGTTAACTTGATAACTGTGATTATAATATTAAGCTGTCCCTCTAAAGCAATTGGTTAAACGCCCTGGCTTTATGGATTCAGCTAGTCAGATAACGACAAATTAAATCAAATTTATCTAAGCAAGAAATTTTCGGTAAAATGGACTAAGGGAGTTAAGGAACACCTGTTATAGTCAACTACACACGAGCACTCAAGAATTTCATTTTTAGACCGATGTTTTTGCACTGCCTTTGTTAGAGGAGCCTACAAAGCTTGAACAAATAGAAGATTTCAGAGGACTGAAATAAAAGGTCCAGTAAGTCATCATGCTAGTTGTGTCATTTTGTCCGCACCCAATTGAAGTGCCAAAGCATGTTGCGATATTTCAAAAAAAATGACATTTTTTTCCAAAACCTTATAAAGGAGGCCAAGCTAAAGCCAACCCATCCATTTGACACTGGTCAAAGAGCTGTAACTCTGAAAACGTTAAAAGAGCTATTGATTCCTTTGATATTCTTTGAATTCACGTTTATAATTTGATTCAATTGCGAATAATATTGTACAGCATTTTTATCGTTTTCTCTCCTGAAACAAGAAAAATGAGAAAAACATTTTCAAACAGAACAATCTCAGATATGAAATGTCTGTAAAGCCCAAGCTCGAGAAGCAAATGGGGCACGATCGATTCCATGGACCAGATTGGCAGACAAAGCACGAAGAGATAACACATAATTCATTCATGTTGCATGCATCTTAGACATACTTAGGTGCGTCACATTCATCATTTTAACATACACGTTTTTGCAGCTTTTAGAGTCAAGTTTTGACTTCAGGATGAAGGATACTCGATTCTCAAGCGCCTTCAAAGAAGGATGGTGGTTGCTTAACTCGACAGTAAGGAGCTACACCTCAACCGACTTGATATCTCAGAACCAATTTCAGATAGGTTCGAGAACCAGTTCAAAACAAATCCAGTTCGACTCAAACTCATCCATGAGCATCATGTTTCCAGTTAAAACTTTCAAGCCAGATTTCAATTCCACGACGGAAGATATCCGACTCAAAATTTGGCGAGAAGGGCCATCATTCATTTAAAGGAAATTTACAGCACAGCTTAAGTCAAGAAAAGTTGGTTGTCAATAAACAACTTCCTAATTTCAGAGCCAATTTCAACTTCACAACGAAGGATATTGGACTCCAGACAGCGCAAGTTCAACTTCACGACGAAGGGACCGCTGGTTGTCAACAAACATTTCTCAATTTCAGAGCCAATTTCAACTTCACAGCGAAGGATATTGGACTCAAGACAACGCAAGTTCAACTTCACGACGAAGGGACCGCTGGTTGTCAACAAACATTTCTCAATTTCAGAGCCAATTTCAACTTCACAGCGAAGGATATTGGACTCCAGACAACGCAAGTTCAACTTCACGACGAAGGGACCGCTGGTTGTCAACAAACATTTCTCAATTTCAGAGCCAATTTCAACTTCACAGCGAAGGATATTGGACTCAAGACAACGCAAGTTCAACTTCACGACGAAGGGACCGCTGGTTGTCAACAAACATTTCTCAATTTCAGAGCCAATTTCAACTTCACAGCGAAGGATATTGGACTCCAGACAACGCAAGTTCAACTTCACGACGAAGGGACCGCTGGTTGTCAACAAACATTTTCAATTTCAGAGCCAATTTCAACTTCACAACGAAGGATATGGACTCCAGACAACGCAAGTTCAACTTCACGACGAAGGGACCGCTGGTTGTCAACAAACATTTTTCAATTTCAGAGCCAATTTCAACTTCACAGCGAAGGATATTGGACTCAAAACAACGCAAGTTCAACTTCACGACGAAGGGACCGCTGGTTGTCAACAAATATTTCTCAATTTCAGAGCCAATTTCAACTTCACAGCGAAGGATATTGGACTCCAGACAACGCAAGTTCAACTTCACGACGAAGGGACCGCTGGTTGTCAACAAACATTTTTCAATTTCAGAGCCAATTTCAACTTCACAACGAAGGATATTGGACTCCAGACAACGCAAGTTCAACTTCACGACGAAGGGACGCTGGTTGTCAACAAACATTTCTCAATTTCAGAGCCAATTTCAACTTCACAGCGAAGGATATTGGACTCAAGACAACGCAAGTTCAACTTCACGACGAAGGGACCACTGGTTGTCAACAACAACTTCCCAATTTCAGAGCCAATTTCAACTTCACAGCGAAGGATATTGGACTCAAGACAACGCAAGTTCAACTTCACGACGAAGGGACCGCTGGTTGTCAACAAACAATTTCCTAATTTCAGAGCCAATTTCAACTTCACAACGAAGGATATTGGACTCGAGACAACACAAGTTCAACTTCACAACGAAGGGACGACTGGTTGTCAACAAACAATTTCCCAATTTCAGAGCCAATTTTAACTTCACAGCGAAGGATATTGGACTCGAGACAACATAACTTTCATTGGATTTCAACTTCACGACGAAGGATATCCAATTCGAGGCTCAACTTCACAATGAGAGGCCATCCATGGTTTCAATTTCACGGCGAAGGGAATCGTGCCAACCAAAGACCTTTGAGATCGACCACGCTCGGCTCCAAGGCATGTCATTTGCAGCATAGCTTAAGTCGGGAAGGGCTATCTGCCAACGAAGACCTTCTGAGTTCGATTTCATTCAACTCGAGGGCCTATCAACCATAGGGTGGAGTCAATGAATTATTGTCCAGTCGAATTTTAACCGAAGTCTTCAAACCGAGAAGAAGACCAACGTTGACTACAATTGACAACGATAAGCCACATTCTGATTCAAATTCAGAATTATGGCTTCAATTTCATTTCAAGATGGACCTGACTTCGCAACTAAGGAGTCATCCGCAACTCAAATCGACAGGGAGTTATTCTTAATTGAAATATTAGAATCAATTTTTAACTCCACCGAACGAAAATTTGTGTCTTTTTGTCTTTGTCCTATTTTTCATTCCACGAAAAAGGACAAAGAGGGGCAGCTGTGGACACCAATTTTCATCCATATATAATATCATATATATATCACATATATATTACTTAAATAATATATTTTTTCTTTATTTTACAGATTCCAGGACCCGAACCAGTCAACAACCGTTTCAGCCCTCCACCAGCACCGCTTCTCACGCATCCAACAACCCATGCACCGGATTTCTCGGCACCAATATTACCAACAAACTACCCACCTAATAACCTACCACTATCACCACTACCTTACCACTCTCTGCCACTTCGCGAACTCCTCCACCTCCACACATTTATATACCACTTTTCTATACAAGAAGGTGGGGGGGGGGATTTCTGGGGACAGCCCCACTCTTTCCATTTCCCCAAAGTCTAACCTGGTGGGGGAATTAATTATTTCCCTCTGCAAACTGGAAAAGACGCTTATCTTTAAAAGAACCACTGGCGCCGACAACGAATCCAATACCTTTCTTTTTCAACTTTGTCAAAGTAGCTTTACCTCAAAACCCATCCTAAAATTTGGCTCTCACCGCTCTCATATCTTCTTCTTCATCACTGACCAAGAACACGCACGATTTCATGGGCAGTGGCAACTTGTTACCCTCGACAGGGCTTTACTCAAACATGCAAGAATAATCGTGCTCGATGAGGCAAAAGCATCGGTTGATACTGCCACCAATAATCTCACACAGAAGATCATCAGAACAGAGTTCATGAATTGCACTGTTTGCACTATTGCACATCGTATTCCACCGTAATCGACAATGATCTTGTTTTGGTGTTGAGTGATGGTCGAGTTACAGAGTTTGATACTCCGGCACGTCTCTTGGAGGATAAGTCATCAATGTTCCTAAAGTTAGTAACCGAGTATTCCTCTAGATCAAGTGGTACACCAGATTTTTGAAATAGATTGCAAGTCCAAAATTCTTCTTCCACTCGGGCATAAGGAGCTGAGGGACTGTACAAGAATGAACCTGTGCCACTGCTTCTTTCTCGCAGCACTCAGCTAACACAACGACAAGGGAAATGGAAAATGAGAAGACCAAGCCATTTAACCAAAATCCAAGGAGAATTTGGGGCCACCATGCTGGCAAATGACGTGGAGGAGGGTGTCTGGGACTGTTAGCACAAAATTAAAGATGCTAGGACCTTGGCTTGGGGCTACTGCTCGCGTGGAAGGGAGCTTCTGGGGCTTGTTGGTAGCAGCTGCTGGCGTGGATGAGCGTTGGGGATCACTCGGCGTGTGACTCGACTGTTAGGGGGTGGCTTGGGTGCTGATGTGCCTTCATCATGGATGGAGGACTACGGGTGGCTGCTGAAGAGCCGTGGGAGTGCGAATGAAACCTTAAAAGGGTTTGTAGGTTTGTGATAGTAATAGGGGTTATTTTCTCTTTTTGTATATGTATTGTTTGATATTTTCTTATTTTTTTCTTAATATATTTATTGTTATTTTCTCAATTTATCTATTTATTTATTTTTCTCTCTTCGATTTATTTAGTATTTATTTTTCAATCTAACATTTTTGACCTTTTTAGGGGTAATTCCAATCGATCAAAGGTAAGTAATTCGAATCGAATTTTTAAATTTCAATTTAAATTCTTAATTTTTTGCAATTAAAGACAACCGACAAATTAATTGGTACCGAAAGGGCGGTTCAAGGGTGATAATCCTTCCTTAACCATAACCGACTCCCGAACCCGACACATTTCTGGTAAAATGCAGATCAGGTAAGATGGTGTCCGACCTACCTAAATTCGTTTTAAAATGGTCGGTGGCGACTCCAATTCGTTTAATCCAAGTCGAAGCCCAATTCCGGGGCCCAACCGAAAGACGGTTCCGACACAATTAATATACGACTAGATTCATGCATTTAACTCTCGTCATTAATATACAACTGGACTTATGTATTATATTTAAAAGAAAATTCGTACAATCTCCTCACCTGGATCAATACCTTAACTCTTGCCAATTATTAATGTAACTCGTATCATTGTCATAATATTTATCGAAGTACGAAGCACGAGAATAAATCTTACATCGCACTTACTTGCAAAACTAACATATCTTCATAAATTTTTCTTCTTCTTCTTCTTCTTCTATTTTTATTATCCTTTTTTATCATCGATCATAACATGCTGCATAAATGATATTTTTTGTGTAAGAGGCAAGAGAGCCGCTGAGCAAGTCTCTTATTCTTAAGACAGCAGAAGTGTATGGTTTGGTGCCTATGAAGTGTTTCGGGTGGGCTGGAGTTGGACTTCGATTTAAATAAATAGATTAGAGTCATCACCAATCATTTTAAAAAATTATTATAGGTGGATCATATACCATTTTACATGGTCTGTGTTTTACCAGAAATGTGTCGAGTTCGGGAGTCAATTACGGTCAAGAAAGGATTAACACCTTTGTACTGCCATTTCGATACCAATTAATTTGTTAATTGTTTTAATTGCGAAAATTTAAATTTAAATTTAAAAATTCAACACGAATTAATTACCTTTGATTAGTTGGATTTCCTTAAAAATTAAAGATAAATATTAAATGATGAAATATATAAATATAAAAAAGGAATAAAATAAAATAAAAATAAATAAAAATAATAAAATTTAAAAAAAACCCTAGGGTCCCTAGGCCCTCAAGTCGCCGCCTCTCTAGCAACTCCACTGGAATCCATGGTGCAAATGAAGGGTTTGTCTTCATCTCCTAATCCAGCAATTACAGGTTGGCAGTAGTATGAACCAAATCTTTTCTCGTAAAGAATAGCAGAAACAAGGTTAGCAAAAGTCTCAGATTTCATGTCCCTTTCTTCTCTTAGCTGGTACAGCTCGTGCCGAAAGACAAGCCTTTGATACAAGGTTTGAGCAACAGTGGCGAGGGCGGAGAGACCGAGAAAGAAGCGATCGTGGATTTTAGAAATCCTCTGGAAGTCGATGGCGATAGTTTGGAGTTGAACTCCAAGTCTCCGATCACTAGCGATGGCGAAGCAGTTCTTTCCTACCATGGCTACCCGTGCACTCCTCCAACGTGATGGCGCCAGCGCAACAAGTACCCTTTGATTCGGCTTCTCTTGGAGAAGAACGAGAAGCAGAGCTCATGATTAAGCTATTGAGGCTTCTGGGTCGATACTTTATATGGGCTTTGAGTGAGAATCTGAGAGATGGGGAGAATTGCAATGTAAATGTCAATATGCTATAGCTGGCTTTGCTCGACATGGTTCTTCGGTTGGGTTTTCTCATGTTCCGATGAGCAGCCGACCTCCATCTCCTTTTCGAATACCATAATGGTAGGAATCGAGCTTTGTGATTTTATACTACGAAGTTTCCATGTTGCAGTAGAGGTTTCAGTTTCGGTGATGGTCAAGTGGTGACCATGGGGCCGAGAATTGTGGAGAGGTGGGTGGTGAACGTGGTTGAGATATGATAATTAGGGGTGTGCAAAAAAACCTGATTAGACCGATTCGATTTGTTGATTCGATTCGAAAATTCGAATATTCGATCCGTTTTTTAATTTTCGGATAGTTCGGATCGGATATTCGAAATTTTTTTCGGGTTATCGGATACGGATCGGACAATAACTATTTTCAGATTATCCGAAAACCCGAAAAAAAAATTGGGCATTTATTGTCTGGTCTGTTTTCCTTTCGTCTAAACCATGTTCGCTTAGCCCCTCCCTTTGTTTTCCATATTAAATTTTCTACTCGTTTTTGTTCATCCATGGTTTGTTTGACAAGTAACGTAAGTCATAATTTTGGAGACGAGAGTCCTTGATGGGGGTTCCGGACTTGGGTAGTTCGTGCGACGCCGACGCATGAAGCATTATCGATGTTATCATGGCGTTCACCAATCACCACCGTGTCTACTAGTATCTGCAAATAAACGCTCTCAAATTCAATCCATTTCTGATCGCTGAAATTAGAAATGGTTTAGACTAGTGGTATGTTTTCCTTTCGTCTAAACCATGTTCGCTGAAATTAGAAATTGTTGTTTTCTTACATCGTCTGTTTTCCTTTCATCATAGCTAACAGTGTTTAGATTGGGCATTTGCTGTACGTAAACTGTTTGACAAAATGCTTGAATGAGCTTTTAGGTGTGCAAGGTATTCTCATGATTGCTTAGGGCATCCCTCTCGCGAGGCTTTACTTCACATACACTCTATTTTCACCATTCTTTTTCTTCTTCTTCTATTAACCCCTTTGCTACCAACATCGATACTTTAAATAAGAAATTCGTCTTTGTAAGTGGAAAGGGGAAAACAAATGATGGCTTCGATAGTGTTGGTGATGCTCTGATTGTGTTTAACAAGATGATTGGCCAGTACCCAAAGCCTTCAATTGTGGAATTCACTAAATTATTGGCTACCATTGTTAGAATGAAACATTATGTCATTGTCGTTTCTTTGTATAGCAGGATGGAATTGTTAGGATTTTCCCATAATATTTATTCATTGAGCATCTTGATTAGTTGTTATTGTCAATTAGGTCGGGTTAATTTTGAGAAAAAATATGAATATTTTAATTTCTGTTAATTATTTTTTGCCAGAAAAATCGGATTCGGATATTTAATTTTTTCGGATCAGATACGAATCATTATTTTAGGTATCCGAAATTTTCGGATATCCAAAATTTCGGATTGAATAATATCTGATAATGCACACCCCTAATGATAATGGTGGGTGCCTGTAAAATAATATATAAATTAATAAAAATAAAAATAATGATATAATATAATATTTTTGTCTGGATAAAAATGGGTGTCCACACACAGAAAACCCGAAAGGTGCTTGAAAATGCTTTTCGTTTTGTGCTGTGCCTATTTCTCCAAAAATGTTTTGCTTCGTGCGTTTTTTAAAATTAAGTTAAGAATGACCGGTGATCCTTTCATCCCCTATTGCTTCTTACATGTGCTGCTGGCTGCTTCGCCATCAAGTTCCTGTAAAATGCCAAGAACAAGCGTTTTCCTGTTTTAATGTAAAAATGATCAATTAGGTCGGGAATCATTGATTATTAAGTACCCATCTAATTTATTTATAAGATTATGACACTGCATTTTTAGCCTAAGCACCGGCTGAAACAAACAAATCTATGTTTGTTCCCGAATCTTTAATTTGTGTATATGATATACAGATCCTGAAGAAAAGAAAAAGTAAACACAGATCAACATGTATCGATATCTGTGGCGCTTAATTTATCATTATTCGAACGACCAAAACCTTGATTTTTACAAATCTTTTTCATCAAATTCTTCATTAAACTCATCGTTTTTATCATTCTTTTCAAGATTTTATAGAAGAATTTATTGAGGTGAGTAATGGTTTTCAATTATGATTTTTTTTTTATTATTTTAATTTTTCAATTTTGATTTTTTTAATTGTTTTAAAGCGTTGGATTAAAGATAAGAAATAAGAAAATAGATTTTTTTATTGTGGATTTCAATTATGATTTATTGTCATGGTTGTAATCTTTGATATCTCAGTTTTGTCTATCGTTTATCATATTGGTTTTGCTCGTCCTGCAACTTAAAATAGGGGAAAAGAATGTGCAATTTGTAATTAATAATAATATTTGGATACAAATATGTATTATGGGAATTAGTATATACATATATTCTCTAACCCCATTTCAATGGATCTTGACATTTGATTCTCTTTTTTTTTCTGGGTAAGAAAAATCTCTGCTAATTACAGTATAAAACTTTGCTTGCGATCATATTGGGGTTATTAATCTATGCTTTGCGTGTGACTCTCTGCATCAACACGGTCCTCCGCTGGAAAACTCAGCAGTTTTTGAGAAGCTACGCTGGCTGTTTTCTCGATGAAACTACTGTCGTCGACCGATATGCATTTGGATGCTGAATTATTACCAAGACCGAATCTCTTGAGCTTTCGTCTCGGACAGAAGTTGGCTACAGCCGATAAAAAAAAAGAATTTCGGTCACAGAGCCCTAAATATGGAATATTGGAGTGGAGAATTTAACGAGTTTCGAAGACGGTAGATGCCGATGTATGAAGTTACAATCATCAATGGATGTATGTTGAACATAATTTGCTTACCACACCAATGTGCCATTCATGTCTTTGAAACTCTTGAAATGTCGTTGCATCCATTTCCTGCAGTTGCATGACATAATATCATCAGAAAATCGAAAATAAAGCTTTCGTTTTCGAGAAAATGTTATTACTCCCTCATGCCTGGCTACCTAAAGCGAAAACGAAAACTTTTTTCCTGCGTTCGATCTTATGGGATACAACCGTCTTTTACTAGGACAGTGTCGATGTTCTTAGGGTTACCATCTATACAATCTCTACAGACAAAATGGTCGATTTGGTGAAACACGGCCAACATGAATGTCCATTTTCGAAACCAAGTATCAGGCTTTCAAAATAACTCCTTGTTTCGGGAACATAAACGCATCAGATGAAACATAAAGCGAAAAGCAAAGCAGAGCTGAAACTTTACATGACCCCGGAGAACTTAAGTCGGCTACCTAAAGCATCGGTGTAAAGAACAGACATAACAACTGCAAGATGGATGTTCCTCCGAATTAAAAGCACAGATAAACATTTTTTTACTGAAATAGATGATGAGGAACGAGATGAACTGCATGAAGTGATGTACAAGGCAATTCAATCATTAATGAAATGCGAATTAAGGTTTTAAATTACTCCGTCGACATGGCAGCTAAAGGCTATCTATCAGAGAGTATTACACAAAGCAAAGATCAGTTTGTAAATGGCAGATCATCTTACTATACGATAGATCGGAGGGACCGCTAAATCCACTTTAGATTTCAACGTTGGCATAACCGAAAACCGTGGTGCCAATTCTTGTGACCTAAAAGTCCACCTGCATATAACAATAAAGTACTTTAGATCAAAAAATATACGAGCTCATTAGCGACCAAAACTAAAAATTTCCAAGGACTCATGATTGGGTAATTCATACATACCCAATGAACATAAAGATGCAGAATTGAACCCATTCTCGAACCAATAACCGAAACCAATAATTCTCCGAGGAGTCATCGATGTTTATGTATAACTGAAAATGAAAATATCAAGCGATCATATCACTCATGAACTTATACATCAGTCAAAGCAAGAGAAGATGAGGTCAACGTATTCTTACCATAGTTTCGGCCATTGCAACTATTTGCATAGCACCCTGAAATTTCCTGCCCAATTGAGAACAAAGCTTATCTTATGAGATTATTGTCGCTAAATCAATCGATATGTGATTAAAATGTTTAAAAAACAAAACATACTTTAACATCCTGTATTTCATATAAACAGCATCACGCATTGGTTGGACATCCTCATCCCCGATAAGGTCAATTGTTCCCGCAACACTAACAGATTTTGCGATATATGGCGAAAAATTACATAGAAAGAAATCATGTAATTAAGCAGTAAAAGAACCTGTAAAACGGTGCAATAATACATCTTATCAGTATGGTATTTAAAGGATGAAATAAGCTGAAGTTACAGTTGGCTAGCTAGCAGAATTCGTATTATGAAATCAAGAAACTCACTGTGAAATAAGGTACAGATGCTCGGTAGCCAACAAGAGTTAAGTAAAATACACATCCGAGTGCAGCAGTAGTTCGACGCTCCGTCACGGAAAGGCGTTCGCAGGTGATGCAGTATCCATGAGAGATGAGCAAAAAGGAAACAAACGAAACTGTCTGAAAGAGTACTCCAGTTATATACACCCCAAATGACATCCACAGTGAACATAGCTCAAGATAAAAACACGAATACCTGCAAGAAACCGCCCTTTGAAATCCGAAAAAAGAAGAAGCTTTTTTCCCACAATAAAGAACAGTTGAAATAAGCAGACATAGCTTAACTTCTTGTAGGTAGACATGAAATGCAACATGTAATTAACAGGCCAGAGGTTCCTGCAGGGTTTCCTTATAGTTTGGAACTATGATCATATCGAATAAACAAACACCGTTAACTTGTGGAGACTTGCCATTGCCTCCACTATATCATATATATTCAATT